CACACACACACACACACACACACACACACACACACACACACACACACACTCCTCAGCTCCCTCACAACACCAACAATGGCTCATTACCCATCTGCCATGAGAGCTGTTTATATTCAGATCTTACCCATTGAGCACCTGCTGAGTCTCACACACACAAACACACACACCTGACACACTCTACTCTGATGAATTTCTTAAAAAAAAACCTCTTGGTGGTGATGTAAATGCAATTGTAAATGTTTGATTTTTCCTGAAGACCCTGAAAAACCTCCCTGTCTCTTATTTCTTTATAACATAAAATAATGACAAAATAAGCAACAATCAAAGTTAATATTTGGGAAAAATAAGCATCTTTGCATCTCTTTGGTATGATTCATTAAAACTTCATCAGGAGTATGTAGGTGTATTTGGAAGGGATTTGACAGTGGCTGGAAACGTTAGCGACCTTTAACCTCTTCAACTCCCAATCCATGCTGCGCAACCAAACTTTGGTCAAACCTACAGAACTTTATTCTGACTTCCAGTGGAGACCCCAAACTCTCCTTTGATGTGGCGAACCTGTCAGCAAACAGTTGCTTATTTACAAAGACAACAGACACAGAGCAACATTAGCATTCAGCTCACCAGCTAGGCTCAAACTTTGTCTGCTGGTTGGTGCTGGGCAGGTAGCATAAAATGTCAAAAAACAAAACAATGAGCTGAAAGATGCTAAAATGCTCTGTATAGCTGAGGGAGACTTCACAGTTGGGTGTTAAAGTGTATTTGTTATGTTTGTAAGGTGGTTGACATAAAGGAAACACCATTCATTAGTTCATAATGGAGACAAAGGGAGTCAGAGTTGATGTCAGGAACAAAGGAAGAAAATATGAGACTTCCATGTTACTTAATCTACAAGTAAGACAAATTATTAAGTGGCTGATGGTGTGTTTCCTGTGTTTCAGAAATGTTGCTGGATGACTTCCTGCTGACCTACCTGGTGTTCATGTCCACCCATGACCTCTGTCAGGCTCTTTTGGGACAATATCCTTACTGGCAAACATGTGTAAAAACATAAATCACACTCATATCCTTTCTGCCTCCACACTAAACCTGCTTTGTCTCCTTGACCGCTCTTACCTATAGCAGCGCCCGCTGCAGGGGTCAGGAGGAGGGCAAGGACGCCCTCTTCAGGAAGCGTAAGGTACTGCAGCTGGTGTCCCACTGGAGCAGGCTTTACAAGGACTTCCTCAAGGAAGAGGAGCACGTCAGGAGCTTCATGAAGGTGCGGCACTACTCGTTTCATCACCGCAACTGATTTTTTTTTTTTTTTTAAATATCTACTTTCGCTCTGTTTCTTGTATTTGAAAGGATCCTCTGGTGTCCTTTTACATGTGTCACTAAAGAACATCAGAGGTCTCGTTCATCTTCACTTGTCTCTGTCTTGATCTAAAATGGGGTATTGCACAACAGGACATCTGAGCTGCAGTGTGTGTGTATGTGTCTTCTCTGATCTACTTGTTAGCTGCATCTCCTGTTAAACTGAACACTTTTTCAGCCTGCAGGGGGAACCTTGTTTTTATCTCATCCCTCCGACAAAGGACCAAACAATAAGAGAGAAAAATACGGGCACTTTCATGATCTATCATATGAATTTGGGTTTGATCATAATATCTGGCTTTGTGTTTTTATGTCAGAGTATCTAATCACAAGGAACAATGGAAATAAGAAAAAACTGTAGTATCTACACAGGACACCGTGTTCACTGAAAACACATACAGATTCTCAGTGTCACATCATTGTCACATTTCTCATGACAAGTGCTGCTTCTATCTGCTGTGTTCCTGCTATATTTTCACATAGTGGGCCAAATCGGATTTGAATGCCTGTGACGACCATTGCACACACACACAAGCACACACACACACACACACACACACACACACACACACACACACACATACATGTAACATGATCACACATGTACACTTCCACACGCACACCCACAACAGCTGCATACACTCACCAATCACTCTTCCCTCTGAAACCTGACAGCTCCATTGCTCAGTGCCGGGTTGCCATGGAAACCAAAGTGCGAGGGTTGGCATGGGTATAATCTCATATGGAGTGTGTAACCCAGGTGATAGTTGCCTAGTAACAGAGGAATGAGAGGGGAATTGGGATGGGATGCTATGGTGGGTCAATGACAGCGATAAGCAGGTGGATGCGTGTGTGGTGCGTTCGTGTGTGCATACGTAAGTGCGTCTTTGCAAGTTGTTAATGTTTCCTTCCCCTGAGCTTTCATGTTACGTACTAATGCTCTGCCATGCACACACTCTAGCACACAGACACAACAGAGCGTGCCCAGTCACCCATTTAAGTACAAGGTACAGAATTTGTCTCATGTTTTTTTAATGTAATCTACCTTCGCAGCATAATTTGCACTTGATGCTACTCAGTAAATGAGCTGCACAGAGTGGAATGTTAATACCATGTAGTTTTATTTTGTTGGTTCAGATCATCTTCTTAACCTCAGTTGTATGTCATAGCTTACAGTGGCAAGAAAAAGTATGTGAACCCTTTGGATATTTTTTTTTTTTCTTGCATTAATTGGTCATAAAATGTGATCTGATTTTCATCCATGTCAGAAGTATAGACAGGCTCATAAAACACAAACAAATGTAATCTTTCATGTCTTTATCGAACACACCCATTAAGCATTCACAGTGCTGGTGGAGGAAGTGAATGGATCCATGGATTCAATAACTGGTTGAACCTCCTTTGACACTAATAACCAGTAGCTGCTGATCAGATCTGCGCAAAGTTCAAAATGAATTTCTGACCATTTTTCAAAGCTACCTCAGCTCAGCCATATTCTTATGATGTCTGGTGTGAACCTCTGGAGTCCAATCCACAGCATCTCTTTTAGCCCAAAAGGCAAATTTTCTTTGTGGGAAATGATTTGGGTGAACCAACCTGATAAAAAATTTGCTTGCCTTCTTTTAACCATAATAATTCTGTTGTAACAGGCAGCTAGTCAGATATCTGTTTGATATGGAGCCAATGTAGAACGATGGTTAGAGTGTCTGTGCGTGGTTGACAGTACAGCTAAAGTCTGAGAGCAGCCAAAGACCATTCAAATGTTAATCCTGCAGCCAGTTGCCAGCTTTTCTGATGGACCAAACAAACAAATATTTTACCATCAGTCAACAAGTGTTAACATGAGATTGTGGGTGCAATGTCACGGATCTTGGTTTTCGTTTTCTCTGTCTGTCAGACTCTGTACAGGTGTGTTTTAGAAGATCTGTACGAGTTCCCCACACTGGAGAAAGATCTGAAGGAGTTCCAGAAACTTCTGCGTCGCAGACAGTAAGTGGGTTTGTCTCTGCACAGGGCCTTTGTTGACTCTTTTTTTTTTCCCCATGCTTGCCTGCATCCCTCCTCACATTTGTGCTTGTTTCTCACAGCACTGTGGATGACTGTCCTCCAAACCAAAAGGTAAGACAAACAGATGAGAGGAAATATTTACAAAACCCATGATGCTTATCTTGTTGTTGCTTATGTTATATTTTACTAATATGACATTAGCTCTAGATTTCAAAAGTTTTAATGGTATAAAAATGTATGATTTTGTTAAGTATTAGAGGTGTCCTGAAAACCAGTCAAATAACCAAGCTCCCGATTGTGTCTGCTGACGTTGAGCAACAATTCCAGGACTTAAATTAGCCGCTCATGCCAATAGTAAACCATGAATTTAGAAAATTATAGGAAAAAGTAAAGTCTAGTCAATCATACATTATAGAATAGACAGCTTAAACTCATAGATGTGCAACAGTAATATAGGAGATGATACAGATGCTGTCAGTGCATCACAATATTCAGTGAAGTATAAACAGTGTTATGCATCTTCATCTTTCTTCTGCTCTCTCTCCTTCAGAGCAAACAAATGTATCAGCAGTTGAGTTTGAAGGAAAACTGTTTGCAGCTCCGAAGTCCGCAGATTGAGACTAGAGAGGGTGAGTAACAGACACAAACTCATGCACACATATACACAACACACTGCCCAGGACTGTACACAATTATGCATAATGACAGTCTGTGAGTTTTAATTTCAGTGTGCACATGCAAATTGCTTAAATACAGCGTGTTCAGCTTCTTTGTGTGCTTGAGTACTTGACAAAAATTAACTCCAGCCTCTCTCCATAAACACTTAAGTCTTTTCTGCATCTGCTTCATTATTATTTTACAGTATTTCAGTATTTTTGTTGTAGCCATCTACTGTGAACATTTTCTATGTATTTCTCAGTTATCTGTTGCGTGTACGTGAGCTCTGACTCCTACCTGAGCGTCCACACACACCCGTCACTGGAGGCCCATGAGCTGCTGAGGATTGTGGGTCTGAAGATGGACAGAGCAGAGGAAGACATGGTGCTCGCTGTGGTCTCACACACTGGAGGTACGCACACAAAGAAATGCATGCACAATACATAGTGAACATATAAACATAAGTATTAAATTCCCTCAATAATTAAAAATAAAACCCTCACACTACCTACAGTATCTTATCAAATATCATGTATAAGTTGCTCCAATGCAAATATTTTAATTGCCAAGTACTTTGTGACCAATAAGTACCTGAACAGTATATATACAGCTTTATCCCTGTGTTTGCTGTCAGCCTCACCTGTTGCTTCTGCCCTGGCTGGCTGGCTGCTGCCCTCCTCTTCCTCTCCCACATCTTTTTTAGCTGCTATCCCTTCCTGACTGGTTGTGACTTGGCATCTTGACTGTGCTGTTCAATTCGCAGCACATGTTTGTTCTGCACATCTGACTGGCCAAGTGCTTCAACCACACCGTTGTCACAATAACAGCAGGGTGTGGGGTATCTGTTGACAAGTTGAAATGTGCTCTCAACACATATTCATATGTGAATACATATAAATTGTATTATCTGTGATTATAAAATTGTTGTACTTGATCCCATTTAAGGGTCAAGCATAGAGCTTTGCATGACCTCAGCATGGGCCCCTCCTGGGCCTTGGGCTGGGGTCATCTGTACCCTTTGACCACCCCAACCCACCCCCACTACAGCTTTACGGTCGTTATTACCTATAGCTGTTAACCTTTTATACATTGCTATTAGCTATTTCAGTCACTAGTTGTCTATACTAACCATTTATCCTCCTATTTTTTTATTTTACTTTTAACTATTTTAAAAATGTATTCATTACTTTCAGCCAATGTTAACTATTTCAGCTGTTTATTCATTATTACTTTAGCTATCTATTTTAACCATGTATTACTTAGCTAATTGTTAAGACTTCTCTGCCCACTTACAAAACTAGTTTCATGCACTCTCATTCATAACCATGTTCAGGTGTTACAGGCATTAGGGTTTTTTTTAAATTTTTATTTATTTATGTTTTTTATTATTAGTTGAGCTGCTGCACCTGCTATACCCCTTAGCAGCTGCAGAGTGCCCCTGGCCCATGGTTTGACAGTCTAGATTATCGTCATCATCTCTCTCTCCTTCTCTCCCCTTTTCTTTATATAGTCGTCTCTGCAGAGCGGAGGGTGTTACAGCCCAGTGACTGTGTGTACTCAGAGTCTCTGACCCCACAGGGAAAGCTTGTGGCCTGTCGCAGGGATCTCACTGAGATCTTGGTATGTAAATGCACTGCTCTGTTTGTGCTTCTGTCATTCTGCAACATTCAATCTTTCCATGTGTTTCGTACGTGCTGATAGAGGCTAAAGGTGCATCTTGTAGGTTTAAAGCAAACCACAATCTCAAAGATCTGATTATTTAGGCATTTGCTGCTTCTGATATTGTTGGCTGCTTCTTTATCATCTTCTGGCTAAATCAGGCATGAAAATAAATATTCTACTTCCCCATGACTCATTGTGACATATTTTCACAGTGTCACAAATGAGTCATGCTTTATAAGCAAGCTGGAATGACTCAGGTCAGGTGATTGTTATTAACATTGACTCAAAAGGAAAGAAAAAGTGTGAGCCACAATTAATACCGTGACGGCAGGATTGGAAAGTGCTGTATCAGGGCAAAGTGTTCTTCTGAAATGGTATGTGTTTCAGATTGGAGCTTATGTTGTGAATCCTTAAAACCATTTTACACTATTGGGCATTTGAACGTAGTTTTAGGGATTTTTTTTGCCTGGATATGTATATTTAGCATCCTGTCATTAACAAACCTGTAGATTCTCTAGCATCATTGTTCTGTAGTTTATTATGAATTTGAGACATTGTTGCTATTGTTTATCGTATTTAGAGATTCCGTATATAGTCAGTACATATTTGTATGTACAGCATATACTGTATTTCTGAGCATACGCGATACAAAGGCGACGACATCTTTCTTTGCACTAACTTACCTTTTCTTTGTGTATATGCAGCCTCCTTTGACGGACAGCGCTGAGCTAAGCAGGAGGCCTGTGCGACTCTTGGGCATCAACACCTGGGATGTGGCAGCTGCTCTCACACACCTGGACTGGAGCCTCTTCAAATCCATCCACGAGGTATACACTCTCACACACACACAAATATATGCATGTGTTGCATATACATACAGTAGGGTATAATAAATTCATATTCATGACAGATTGCTGGGGCATAAGCATTAAAGATGCAAATGCTCTACAAGACTTGGCTGGATCATGAGTACAGAAAGTCTTCTTGCAGCTGAGCGGCTTCCAGGAAGAGCTGAATATTTGTTGGGAAAATGGTGAAGCAGAGCACAGATATTTTGGATGTTATTGTATCATTCGGGAATCTGGACAATGTTTTGTGCTGGATTCTAATTGTCTAATGTGAGAAATTGCTGCTTTCCTCTGTTTTATAATAAATTAATTATATGTGGATTTTGGACTATTGGTTGGACAAAACACACAATTTTAAGATGTCATGTGGGCCTCTGGAAAATTCTGATTACCGTCAAATAATTACATTCTTAAAGGGAGTAGATATTTTGGGATGCATTCCTCTGAAAAGCTTGATGTCTTTCACTCACACTCTTTCCACCTTTCCCATGCAGCAAGAGCTGGTGTACTACACTCTCAGCCGTACTCCTGGTAGCCACACGGCGGCGCTCTCAGTCCTGCTCCAGCGCTGCAACGAGGTCCAGCAGTGGGTCATGTCCGAGGTGCTCATGTGTGTGTCTCTCAACAAGAGAGTGCAGCTGCTCAAGAAGTTCATCAAGATCGCTGCTCAGTAAGAACGCGCGCACACACTCGAACATACACAAATAAAAGTGTATATATCAAGTACGTCGAGGTAGCATTTTGATGCATTTTTGTGCTCGTAGTTGTAAAGCCCAAAGAAATTTGAACTCCGCATTTGCCATCATCATGGGTCTCAACACAGCAGCTGTCAGCCGACTGAACCAAACCTGGGAGGTGAGTGTGTGTTATATTTAGTGTATTTATACACATACGTTGTGTTGTAAATCTAATTCTGACCAAAAACCTTCCCTTCAGAAATGTCCGGGCAAGTTCAAGAAGCTTTTCTCAGAGTTGGAACTCATCACGGTGAGACAGAGACAGAGATACAGTATTTGCAGTTCCTCTTTCGATTTGAAAAATCAAATCTTGAAATCTCTCTTCCTTCTCTCATCATTTTTCTTTTACTCTGTTTTCTCTCTTCCTCCATCTTTCTTCAGGATCCATCTCTGAACCACAAAGCCTACAGAGAGGCCTTCAAGAGGATGAAACCTCCCAAGATCCCTTTCATGCCTCTTCTCCTGAAAGGTATCATCTCCAACCCTCCACACACACACACACACACACACACACACACACACACACACACACACAGCATACCAAGACTTTATTGTTTTTTTGATGAATGACACTTTAATACAGCTGTCCACTGCTCTTAGATATCACCTTTATCCATGAGGGAAATAAGACCTTCCATGACAACCTGGTCAACTTTGAGAAGCTGGTGAGTCCACTCAGTTCTGTAATGTCTTTCAGTGTTTGAGTTAGTGTTTCAAACTGTTTGAAAGTGACCTTTCAGGAATTTTGCCTTACCTTTGAACAAGGCTTAAAATGTCATCCAGTAACTATATAGATAACAAGATGAGATGTATCAACAGGTGATTAACCATTGAGTCAAATAAATAAATGGAGTATAAATGCAGTAATGTACAGTATATGGCACTTTTTGCCTGTAATTCACCCATTCACTCTCATAAGTGGCATCGAGTTACCATGCAAAGTGATGGCCTGACCATCGGGAGCAGTTTGGGTTTCAGTGTGGACAGGGCCAGCATGTTGCTAACACAAAAATAAAAACTCAAACAAGCCAGTCGGTCACAATCTGGTGCTGATTTGCAACAACAACTCTGAAGTTGAAGTTTGTTTAATAATCACAAGTTGGAGATGTAAAATACAGTAATCACTGTGTTGTAGATGAATCTGATGATTGTTTTCTCAATTAATCAGTTTAACCGTTTGGTCTGTCAAGTCAAAAAATGCCCATCACAATTTCTTAAACCCCAAGACATCATTTATTTTTGTAGTTTATTTAGCAGATTTTTCTGTAGAGAGAATTTAAAGGCAGCCATCTTTCTTTTTGCCTTTGTTGAAACAACCTTGGAGATAATTCAAACCTGTTTCAGCAACTTCATCTGAAACAGTAGAATCACTCCTGGGTGGTGCGAGGAGAAAGACGCTGAAACAGGATTACTGGCTAGATAATTAATTCTGGTCATTGGAAGAAAGCATAATTAACGTAAGTAGAAAGGGGGAACATTTGTCGGGTCTGAGAGAAGAAAACTGCTGCAGCAGGACAAGACCAGTGATGGAGAAGCAGAGCGCAGTTGGAGATTAAGGAGTTGACAGAATAAAACCTTTATTTATACTGTACTGGGGGGAATTCACTGAGACCAAGCTCTATTTTGCATGAGTGGCATCTTTTCTTTTTAACTGCTGACTTTCATCTCAATCATTAAAAGTGACCACTGACACATCTGTTTTCCATCAAATAGATAAGATCTGCTTCACTTTGAAGAAGATGTCATTTATATTGTTATTTATAGCGATGGGGCAGGACAAATCTGCTCTAAAATGTTAGATTTTGATTGTTTGGCATCGCACTGATGCAACATGTTTTCTTCCTAACCAACAGCATATGATCGCAGACACAGTGAGAATGATTCGCCACTGCCAAAGCGACCAACCAGGTCAGTCTTCTCGTTTCTGGGTGAATTTAATTGGTACAAATGATCCTAACATCACAAATGATAAGTTATCAGGGCTCTTTAGGTTCATTGCCTCCCCTCTCTGACAAAATGTTATACCAAATGGGGTGTTGATGTTTTGGATCCATTCATTGTGAGGAATCTACTGCCATCTGCAGTCGAGTCAGTGTACTGCACCTGTATCTTTGTCTCTCCCACTCAGTTTTCTGTTACAGTTTCTAAGCAACCATTTCCAGACAGTCTTTTATTTTCTTTATATGGCCATAATAGAGTCTGTGTTTTTACTAAGTGTGTGTGTGTTCCTGAGCCCAGCAGAAAACTCCTCTGCGTGACTAATGCGCGTGTTTTGTGTCCGTCTCTTAGGCAACGAGGTAATCGGGGTCGACAGTGCGGAGGTGAGGGCGAGTGTTAACTACCTGCACATTATCGACAATCAGCAGACTCTTTTTGAACTGTCACACAAACTGGAGCCACGTGCTTAAACACACACACACACACACACACACACACACACACACACACACACACACACACACATACACTCGGAGACACACAAACACACTGGACACTGGAATGGAAATGCTAGCTCTGTGTGACACGAAGGACGCTTTGTACAGCAAAATGTCACACACTCAAACATACACTGCAACAAAATCACACTACCAGCAGTGGTGCCAAGTGGACAATAAGATGCCATGTGTTCAGACCCAACCCACGAAGACACAGAGCTGCACGCTGCCTGTTCTCTAAAGGCTTTATAGCACTGAACATGTGCTTGCAAAAAGGATTTCTAAACTCCATACACGTTCTGTAAACTGTCTACAGGAAGAGATTCTGCACAGCAAGACCAAGATTTGCCAAACTGAGATAGAGAGTAAAGGAGGCTGTAATTAGTTTGTACAGTATCTATTGGACTGAATATGCCCTTGGTTTTGTTCTTGTGATGATCCTCTGGTTATTTATGAGCCTGTTTAGCAGGGGGAATGTTCCTTTATTTCTGTCAAAGTCTCGTCCACCCCCACCCCCACCCCCCCATCACCCGGAGGCCAACAAGGACTTCATATCCTTGTCATCATTTCAGTTACAAACACAAAAACAACTGTAGAGGAGTTGGATGTGTTTTTAACCTGATGGCTGAAATCTGCCCCATCTATGGTCTCATATTATTTCATCTGCATATCGCAAATCTGCCTCGTGACGCATGTATATGCAGGGTACATGCTATAGTTATGTAGGTGTATGATGTGGAGCTTTTTTTGGTTGTTGTGTTGTAGCATATTACGTAACACAAGCAGCAGCCATTACTGAAGCAGCAACACTTTTTGCACCTACAACTTTTTCCCTTTTGTCACTGAGCCTCTGTCTTTTGACTAACAATGTGCAGCCTCAGTGAGTGACAAAAGGTGTGACATTAACAGTGTATTGTACCTGACATGTGAAGGAAGCATTGCGAGAGGTTTTCACTGACTGACTGTGAGGTTTGAAACACTTACAGCTCTCCTGAACGTGCCAGAGTTCAAAAACTGTTGATGAATAGTGAACAGTTATTCCAGTCCTGGATGACTTTTAGCCAAACACTCCTCGTGCACTCTTCTCTATGATGTTTTTGTGTGAATAGATAATGATTATTTTACATTGTATATAATATGGACCTATACATTTTTCAGTGCCAAATGTCACATTGATCCTGCAGCATAGATGTACTGTACTGTACTGCTCTTGGTTTGTTTAGGAGTCTTTTTTTTTTTTAATTACATAATTTTTGATTTCCTTGAATGAGCCCTGGAATGAAGTCTGGTCCTTGATCATGTAAAGCAGATCTGACTCCTCGCAGAGATGCTTTTTGACATTATGATGACTGATTTCAGGGTGTGTGCGTGCTTGTGTTTGTATGTGCGTGTGTGTGTGTGTGTGATGCTATCCCACTCATCTTGGGTTGCTATGGAAACACAGCCCCATCATAGTCCCCCCCCCACTTTCTTTTTTAATCCTTGAGTTGTATATGTTAACAGATAGTCAAAGCACTGCGCCACAGAGCTTTAAGTAATAGCTTTATTCCACAGAACCATGTTCATGAGGAGATTTCATCACTGATGATTTGTTCTTACTGACTGAAAAGATCACTTCATTCAGAAGTGGTCTTGTGTAAATTGTCTGAAAACCAACACAGGGTGTGGACAGAATAATGGAAGCACGAGGTCACAGACTTCCTCCATTATAGTAAGACTGCCTGGTGGGATTTTTACAGCTTTGGTTCATCCATTGATTATTTATCACTTTTACTTTGGTTCTCATAATTTTGGCCCTCCAACTACATGTTGGCAGGGAAAATGATCTTTTCTGAATCCAATCTGGCAACATATTCCTGTTGACACAGCCGTGACATGTGAAAAGCATCTGTTTGTTATTCAAATCCCTGAGTAACCAGCTCGTCTTGTTAATACAACTATGATTCTGGCTCACTCTCTGAATCATTCAGAAACGATATATGATATATATGATGATACATACAGATTAAGACATCCTTCAGAGCCATGAGCAGTCTTTATGTTTGGCAGACCTTATTAGTGTTTGTATTATTTTGTCCTTGCCCTGTATCTGTTCATGTGGTCACGTCAGTGGTACATTTCTGTTGAGTAGGAGGAACCATGCGAGGGTGAGATTCCTAAATGTTATGTAGTGCTGCATGTCTCGCATTGTTTAGATAGTTATGAAGCATGGGGGGGTAACGTGCAATACAGTAGAAATGTTGTTGCCACAAGTGTTTGTCATCATCATCATTTCAACACTAAGCCTTTCAGAGCACAGACCATAATGATTCAGTTACATAAGGGGAAACCTGAATTTCACAAACTGTCTTAGTGCCAAAAGCATCTTTAGTTCATTACAAGAAGAAATTAAAAGGTGATCTCTATGTGAAGACTCACGTTGAACATATTTTGTGTGTTTGTATGTGTTACAAATAGCTTAGTCATTGCCTTTGCATTAAAAACTCTTTCAAAGACAGACTGTAACCCACTGTTGTCACCAACACTTTGTGCAGATGCTGTGATACTGAATGTGGAGCCAGTTATAGTCAACCAAATTGATGAATTCAAATTAAAAGATTATTTGAGCCATGTAAGTATTTGGTATTATGGGGATGTAAAATCTAAACGAATTGTAAAGAAGTCTGTTTATTGTGCAGGATGTGCTGCTTGATGTTACACATGTGAGTCTTGAGATTGTTCCTTTCCAGTAACAGTTAATATTACATAAGCAATATAAAGAAGATAAAAATAATATTCAATTCTGAGAGTGGATTTCTCCTTTAAAGCAAAACTCAATACCTACTTGCTTAACAGTAGTGGATGGAAACATGCATTCTCTGCACGTTCTCTGGAAGTTTGTTCAAAATTTACAATAAATACTGATCGAAACAGCTTTTAGAAACAGTTATGAGATAACGCTAAACTACAGTTTTATTGTTTGGCATTTTTAATGTAACTGTCCATTATAACGCTATATTTACCTAAAGTTTGCTAACATTAGCTACTGGTATATACCAGGCAGAGTAAGGCTGTACCAGCAAAAACTCCTCAGTGTACTGAATTCAGCAACAATGCGTTTTATTTCTTGTGAGCTCAGCTTTGTACGAGGAAAATCGTTATTTCTTCTCTACAAAGTTATAGTCGCATTTTAAAGATGCTTTTTGTGAAACCAAGTCAGTGATTCTTTGACTGCGAGAGCCGATAAATCAGAGCTGTGGTGTGTTCATATTCAGTGTCATAGAAAGGCCTTGTGGTAGTCATTTTTACTATTAACCTGTACACGACACACACATGCACAGACACATCTCTGCTCACTGTGTCCAGACAGCAGGGTAATCGTGCTATATTCGTTATTTATTGTAATATATTGTTTATTTATGTATTTCAGAGGTGACAAAATGCCTCAGTTTATGTGCCAGAGTTTCAACGGTGAGGAAGTGCACACATGAGAAGGAAAGATGTTTGTGGTTTGAAGCTGCAATGCTGGAATGTAAAAGTACTTGTTATGTTTTGTGGCCACTTGAGGGCAGCAGACGAGCAAGTCGGTGTGTTGATGCTCATCTCTTTCCTCTGGTGTCAGACGCTTATATGGAGAGGAAGCCAACAGGCGGCTGTATTTAGTGTTTTATTGGCCATTGTCATGACTGTGTAAAGTTGTGGTTTTTTAAAGAAATGTTGTTTAAATTCTGTTTGCATGTTAAATCAGAAAAAAGAAAAAGTTCACAATGCAAGAGAGGAAACAGTGAAGGCTTTGTACTATTGTAATATTGTTGATGTGTAAATATATGCCTATGTTGGTATGTTGTTATTTATCTGTTGTAAATGCAAAAAAAAAAGAAAAAGTCAACCACAAAGCAATACGTCTCCCCTCGTGTCCCCTCAACCTTCGAACAGCTGAAGCCACATGTCTTTTCTAAAGCTGCGTTTTACTATGTCAAAATTTTACTGAAAACAAATAAATTATAGGTTTTATGTGACATCTCCAGGTGAGCGAGTGTTTCTCTTCTTGGCTTGTGTTCAGATACTTTGTGCTTGTTGTTTACCCTGTGCGTTTGACCGGTGACCAATGATATCACAGCAACAGTTCAAACACACTCTCTGAAGCAAGTAATAGAAAAATGGCCTTTAAGCTGTTTCTGCAGGATTCTGTCAGAGATGGGAAGAGGACCTTCAGCATGCTCACGATGAAGCTTTTTGAGAGGCATATATTGGGGCCGCTTTCTTTTTCTTTGTTATAATTCAAGAATGGATCTATGGGCCTCTCATGCCCAGTGAACTACGTGTCTTATTTATCATTTCAACGAGAAAAAGGAAGATTGGATTAAAAGGTTACAAGCATTTCTATGTAACAGATATCAGAAGTGGATTATACATTAATGGACAGTGTTCATTCTTTCTTTCTTTATTACTCAGGCCTGTTTTGTTTGATACTGGGATAACGTTGATAAGCATTCTTATGATGAAATAAAAATAAAAAAAGATTATCTAGAGAACAGACAGCTGTCCTAAATGTTCCACAGTTCCAGTAATAACTTCTTTGATACTGGTTAATTTTTAGCCAGATACTTCACATGTACGTGTCTCATCACACTATGAGGTTCTTGTTTCAATAGATAATATTTCTTTTATATTGCACTTTATTTAAGAGAGGCCACATTCACATGTTAAATGTTTGCTGCATAGATGTACTGCAGAACTTTGGTGAAGACCCACTTTTAAACAGAACATCAGTGTGATGAGCAGCTCAGCTTTTGTCTCTATCACTCACATTGAAAGACAGCCTCTAATCCCTTGTTGTCTTTATTTATATAGAAAATAAGACGGAGAACAACTTCTTTGTTCCTGGTTAATTTCTATCCAGACACTCCTCCTGTATGTTTCTCATTAGACAATGAAGTTTTTGTATCAGTAGTTGTACCTCGCTCAAGACTGAAACTTTGGGGACTGTGTTTGCTGTCCTGGGTCTCAGGCTGTGAAACAGTCTCCCCTGAGAGTCAGATCAGCAAACTCTCTCAGGTAGTTTAATTCAAAGCTACAAACGTATCTTTGTCAATTACAAGTGTTATTGTAATTGAGTTATTATGTACATTTTTTTGTGTTTTTCCTTTGTCTTTTTGTTAAGCACTTTGTAACCTTTGAAAGGTGCTATATAAATGAAAATTTACTTAATTTGTTCCTATAGAGATTTTTTTTATTGGCCTTTTTATCATGATAATAATGCAAACACAATTAACAAGGAAAATCAAAAGAGCATACTGTCTAACAGAGCAACAACATCAGCGATAAGGAAAACAAATAAAAACAAAATGAAAAAAATGACTTCATTGAAAGGCCTGCCTTGTGTGGATGACAATCCTCAAGGTTAAAGAACTTGATTTTTTTCTACAGGAAATTTGCTTGAGGCTACAAGTTATTAAGATTATTGCTTTTCAGGAATTATTGTTGTTCACAGATATTTGATAAACCGTCCAAGATTCAAAAATGCTGAGAGTGGATTTCCCCTTTAAAGTCAGACTATGTAACTTTTGATGAATCACAGCCATCAACAACTGGCTACAAGAGACAGTTATGGGATAATGCTTAATGCTAAACTACTGCTTTGCTGTTCAGCATTTAGCTAACAAGTTAAAGATTCTGTGAACAATTGTCACACAGTCCGCTGGTAAAGACACTGATGGAGCCAGTAAATACTTAAAACATGTAAGGACGTTTTGACAGTCGACTGGTTGACCAGGATTGGAGCAAGTCGTCCCCATGGCCAGTCCGCCTGTGCTCTGGTTTTATCTCTTTCTTTGTTGGAGGCCTCTTCAAACGAAAACATGGTTTCTTCAGTGAAGGAAATTCTGGTAAGTCCCTTTCACCTGAACGCTAAGTACTGCAGTGTGCCATCTCCCCTGTGGTTGGTGTGTTTATAAATAGGGGGTGGGCAATAGTTTAAGGAGGGACTATATCAGCTGCTGATTTACTTGTATTATATCAATACATCAATGATGAATAATGTATAATGCCAGAGTTCAACAACTGTTAATGAATTGTAAACAGTTACTGCTTCATTGCCAATTTCCTTGTTTTCATTTCAAAGTCCCTGTTAATTTTTAAAAACATTTCACCAATGATATCACAGCAACAGTTTAAACAACCTCTCTGAAGCAAATAAAACAAAGTGGCTTTTCGGCTGTTTCTGCAATAATCTTGATCATCCTACGTCCAACGGTGCAGGAAAGCTCAGAGACTCTGACGCCAACATGATCTTGCTGTTATTCTTGTTTGGTCTGACTCTGGGTGCTGAGTCTCCTTTGGATAAACATAAAGTGAAGCTACAGCGGGGAAATTGTCCTGCGTTCTGGTTCAGCTTCAGTGGCCGCTGCTACAAGTATGTTGCCACACATTTGACCTGGGCTGATGCAGAACTCCACTGTGTGTCAGAGGGAGCCAATCTGGTGTCTATCCACAGTCTGGAAGAAGAGGATTTTGTCAAATCCCTGATCATGAACTTTGACCACGCTGAAGGATACACCTGGCTCGGACTCAGTGACAAACAGAAGGAAGGAGGATGGATGTGGTCTGATGGTTGTGCAGTGAAGTTTGGCTTCTGGAATCCAGGAGAGCCAAATAATGAGGAAAATGAAGACTGTGTACACAATAACCTCGGCAATAATAAGAAATGGAATGATCGACCTTGTTCTGATACTTATGCCTCTGTTTGTGCATCTCGCATAGACTGTCCTTAGCAACTGATGTTTATGTTGAATTCAACCAGTTGACTTTCCACCTGTTGCTCTGTAGAAATGTTTTGAGCGTCCACAATAAAGATACAAATGTACAACTTAATGTGTGTGTCTATTTCACAAACTTTTTCATGGACACTGGATATTCACACACTAATTCCAGTGATCGGTCAAAGGGAATATTTTCCCAACTTTTTGATATCCTCAAAGGCTTTCTCCTAATTTGACCATACAGAAATCTACCACTGATAGTAGTAACACAGGTGATTTCAATGGTGGGTCAAAGGAAATATCCAAATGTCAAATGTTTTGTTTTTCCGTATTAAACCTCATCCAAAAGTAACCAACATATTTAGAAGAAAATTTATTTAACTGTACAGTTACATGGGTACATTCTGGTATGCAAGTCTTCTCTCATGAGTAAAAGTGATTGTCTGATGATATTAATGTTATATGACCCTAACCCTTGAGATGACCATTTAGTGATGTTTCCACCAGTACGACACATCATCAGTGTACGCAAGTGCTGTGCTGAATCATCAGGGATTGTAACACCTAGTCCTACTAAGCAAACATATCATTTACACAAGGTCAAAATACTGTATCCTCTTGCATTGCTCTGCAATTATACCACCAAAAGTTAGTTGGCTGTGTGGTTTGTATTCCACTGTGTTGAGTTTCTTCATGTACTTCAAACAATGGCACCTGAAACTGAGCTGATCATGTTGGAGTTGGAGCTAATAAATAAACAACAGTTAACAACAGTTACTTTAACTGGAATATCTGCAATGCAGAAATGACAGAAGACATTGGACTAGAAAGTGTGTATGACCATTGACCTGATTGAGGCAGAAGGAGGGTGAGTTTTCTGTGCTTGTCCGGACGGTCACTGGGAGACATGCAGAACAGACCAGCTACAGTTGTGCTGGTGTGTATTGTGTACTTATATTCCTAGCGAGGTACACATCAGGCTAAGGTGTAGGCTACAGTCTAAGGTACACAGCTTTGGCATATGGTGTCGATTCTACACAGAAATATAAACTGGCCTTAACCCTAACCCTTATCTCCCACGGGCCCCTCCTGAGTGGGTTCTTGGCCCCCCCCCCCTGCGCCACCTCATTTAAAAAATCCTGGATTCATGCCTACTTACAGATGATTTAGATGTGATTCTGGGAAATGATTTGACTGATGTTTATTCACCAGCTTTTGCTGTAACACAGGCCATGACCAGGGCAAAGTCTGTGTCATGACCTCAGACAGACGAATGTGATATAGACATTCACTTATATTTACATGACTCTCTCTCTGTTTCCCAGCAGGAATTGACTCCTTTGGGTACTTCAGGTCAGGTAAGAGTTGTTTTCTTCATTGGTCTTCTAAACCTGTCCCACTTTGTCTAATCCCTGGCAGCCTATTAGAACAACTAATCATCATCTTGATCGTGTCAAATTCCAGGTCTAAGTACCTGTGGATTGTGGTATGGCAAGTATCACACTATTCTGTCCATTGCACACTATCAAAGTCAGGTTTATAGTTATGGACTTGACTTATTTAGAGTGATCAAAGGTCAAACCACTCTTCACATTTATTCACACAAGATCTCAAGCAACCAAATATCTAGAATAAGCATGCATGTGCTCATCCCGCAGAATGCCAATACAGTGATTTCACCAAACTCTTAAGTCTTTAATGCAAGCATATTGCACATAAATGGTTAGGGACTGGGAGGAAGGCTTACTGAGGTTACTTTTAGCTAGAGGGGAGTGACAAGTGTTGATTTCACGTGGATGTTGCGCCTTCTGATGACTCTTTACTGTGTGATCACTTATAAAACTTTGACTTCAAAATTTACATCATTTGTTGGCTCACCTTCAAAAAACCCACTCCATCATTTTGAAAAATGCTTAAAAAAGTGGACAAGGGCTGAGAGGCATAAGAAGGTCCCAAATGGTTCACTCGCTGTCAGCATTGGCCTTACAAGGTTCACAATTATTTAAAACAGTAGATGGCGTTTTGAGCCATTTTCAGTCCATGAAATGCCAGTCTTTATGTCTTTGGTAAGAAATGTCAATATCACCACCATAATTTAGATGTTTCATCACAATACAGTCAAACCATTTAGTTTAGAGCTCTAAACATGTTTGAGTGTGCAGTACCTCTTTAAATCCTGTTTGCATGTTAAAACAAAAAACACTAAGTTCATAATGCAAGAGAGGACACATTGAAGGCTTTATACTTTTATAATAACGTTGATCTGGAATATATGCCTATGTTTGGTATTGGTACTATTATCTGTTGTAAATGAAAAAAATCAACCTAAAAGCAATACATCTTCAGCTTCAGTTGAAGCCACACGTTTTTTCTAAAGCTGCTTTTTATTGTATCAAACTTTTACAGAAAATAAGTAAATTATAGCTTTTATTTGACATCTCTAGGTGATCTGGTAGGTGGCCGGTGAGTGTAAATGTACATATACATATACATATACATATACATATACATATACATATACATATACATATACGCATATATATATTGAGGGATGTATGTACTTTTTTTTCTCTTTCTTTCGTAATTACTCAGACCTGTTTTGTTTGATACTGTGATAATATTGATAAGCATTCTTATGATGCAATAAAAAATAATTAATATAGAAAAACAGACTGCAGTCCTGAATGTCCCAGAGTTCACCAGTGAACAACTTCTTTGTTTCTGGTTAATTTTTATCCAGACACTCCTCATGTACGTTTCTCATTACACTATGAGATTTTTGTATCATTGATATGTTGACCATATGACTTTTATATTGTTCTTTAAGATCATCCTGTACATTTCACAGTGCCAAATGTTGAATTTTTGCTGCATAGATATACTGCAGAACTTTGGTTAAGACCCACTTTTAAACATCAGTGTTATGAGCAGCATAGCTGTTGTCTGTAAAATACTCACATTTAAAGACAGCCTCTAATACCTTATTGTCACCAATACTTTCACAAACAAATAGAGTGTATCAGTGAACTATTAATGTCTATTACCTCTGTTAGGCCCTTCAGGTCCTCTGAACAAGGCCTAGTAGTTGTACCTCGCTCAAGACTGAAACTTTGGGGACTGTGTTTGCTGTCCTGGGTCTCAGGCTGTGAAACAGTCTCCCCTGAGAGGCAGGTCAGCAAACTCTCTCAGGTAGTTTAATTTAAAACTGCAAACTGCAAAGTGCTATTGTGATTGAGTTATTATGTACATTTTTTGTGTTTTCCTATGTGTCCTGTTGTACACTTCTTGATTTTATTCTGTTCTTTAACCTTTTAGTCTGTTGTTAAGCACATTGTAACCTAGGTTTTGAAAGTTGCAATATAAATTAAGATTTACTTTATTTTTTTTCCATGAAGAATTTTTTATTGGCCTTTTTATATTGATAATAATGCAAACACAATTATCAAGGAAAATCAAAAGAGCATACTGTCTAACAGAGCAACAACATCAGCGATAAGGAAAACAAACAAAAACAAAATGAAAAAAATGACTTCATTGAAAGGCCTGCCTTGTGTGGATGACAATCCTCAAGGTTAAAGAACTTGATTATTTTCTACAGGAAATTTGCTTGAGGCTACAAGTTATTAAGATTATTGCTTTTCAGGAATTATTGTTGTTCACAGATATTTGATAAACCGTCCAAGATTCAAAAATGCTGTGAGTGGATTTCCCCTTTAAAGTCAGACTATGTAACTTTTGATGAATCACAGCCATCAACAACTGGCTACAAGAGACAGTTATGGGATAATGCTTAATGCTAAACTACTGCTTTGCTGTTCAGCATTTAGCTAACAAGTTAAAGATTCTGTGAACAATTGTCACACAGTCCGCTGGTAAAGACACTGATGGAGCCAGTAAATACTTAAAACATGTAAGGACGTTTTGACAGTCGACTGGTTGACCAGGATTGGAGCAAGTCGTCCCCATGGCCAGTCCGCCTGTGCTCTGGTTTTATCTCTTTCTTTGTTGGAGACCTCTTCAAACGAAAACATGGTTTCTTCAGTGAAGGAAATTCTGGTAAGTCCCTTTCACCTGAACGCTAAGTACTGCAGTGTGCCATCTCCCCTGTGGTTGGTGTGTTTATAAATAGGGGGTGGGCAATAGTTTAAGGAGGGACTATATCAGCTGCTGATTTACTCGTATTATATCAATACATCAATGATGAATAATGTATAATGCCAGAGTTCAACAACTGTTAATGAATTGTAAACAGTTACTGCTTCATTGCCAATTTCCTTGTTTTCATTTCAAAGTCCCTGTTAATTTTTAAAAACATTTCACCAATGATATCACAGCAACAGTTTAAACACCCTCTCTGAAGCAGATAAAACAAAGTGGCCTTTCGGCTGTTTCTGCAATAATCTTGATCATCCTACGTCCAACGGTGCAGGAAAGCTCCAACCAAGACTTCAACCCTGCGTCATTCTCCAAAGACTTACACAGAGACTCTGACGCCAACATGATCTTGCTGCTCTTCCTGTTTGGTCTGACTCTGGGTGCTGAGTCTCCTTTGGATAAACATAAAGTGAAGCTACAGCGGGGAAATTGTCCTGCGTTCTGGTTCAGCTTCAGTGGCCGCTGCTACAAGTATGTTGCCACACATTTGACCTGGGCTGATGCAGAACTCCACTGTGTGTCAGAGGGAGCCAATCTGGTGTCTATCCACAGTCTGGAAGAAGAGGATTTTGTCAAATCCCTGATCATGAACTTTGACCACGCTGAAGGATACACCTGGCTCGGACTCAGTGACAAACAGAAGGAAGGAGGATGGATGTGGTCTGATGGTTGTGCAGTGAAGTTTGGCTTCTGGAATCCAGGAGAGCCAAATAATAATGGAAATGAAGACTGTGTACACAATAACTTCGGCAATAATAAGAAATGGAATGGTGGACCTTGTTCTGATACTTATGCCTCTGTTTGTGCATCTCGCATAGACTGTCCTCAGCTACTGACGTTTATGTCAAATTCAACCAGTTGACTTTCCACCTGTTGCTCTGTAGAAATGTTTTGAGCGTCCACAATAAAGATACAAATGTACAACTTAATGTGTGTGTCTATTTCACAAACTTTTTCATGGACACTGGATATTCACACACTAATTCCAGTGATCGGTCAAAGGGAATATTTTCCCAACTTTTTGATATCCTCAAAGGCTTTCTCCTAATTTGACCATACATTTTACAAATATTTGATAAACCATTTGAGATTCTTTCTTTCTTTTTTTCTTTCTTTCTTTCTTTCTTTCTTTGTAACTCAGGCCTGTTTTGTTTGATACTGTGATAATGTTGATAAGCATTCTTATGATGCAATGAAAATAAAAATAAAAAATCATATAGAAAAACAGACAGCTTTCCTGAATGTTTCAGAGTTCAGCAGTGAACAACTTCTTTATTACTAGTTCATTTTTAGTTCACGGTTTACACAGATACACAGACACACATGCACACCCACATACATACACACACAGTACAGTATACAGTAAACAGTATACCATATATTAGTGTTTGCAGACTGACCTAAGAACTAGTTTATTGAAAATGGTTCAGGTGGCCACAGCGAATGAATTGGTCATTGTCAAATTTGTACTGTTTTCTTTTGTGGTATATGGCACATGCACAATTATACATTCTAGTAAAGTCTAGTAAGGAAAACAGCAACAAGAAGCACCTGGGTTCAGCTTCAACCCTGGTTCTTTCTCGCATTGTTACTTGTTCTCCTTATGTTTCTTCCAGGGACTCTGATTACTAGTAAAAAGACATGCACATTTAAGTAATTGAGGACTCTAAATTGTCCAAAGGGGTTTGAATGTTAGTGTATTTGTGTGTGTGTGTGTGTGTGTGTGTGTGTGTGTGTGTGTGTGTGTGTGTGTGTGTGTGTGTGTGTGTGTTTTTTTCTGCTTTCCTCCCAGTACATGTTGGGATACATCCCAGTACTTCAAACTTTTTTAGTTTGAAGTTTGAATGTTTGATGTAATGAAAAAAAGTTTGTTACATTTGCATCCAGAATTACAAAGTGCACACAAATGTAAAACTAATAAGATTTACCCTATAATTACAGAGAAAAACTTTATGTGACATCTCCAGGTGAGCGAGTGTTTCTCTTCTTGGCTTGTGTTCAGATACTTTGTGCTTGTTGTTTACCCTGTGCGTTTGACCGGTGACCAATGATATCACAGCAACTGTTCAAACACACTCTCTGAAGCAAGTAATAGAAAAATGGCCTTTAAGCTGTTTCTGCAGGATTCTGTCAGAGATGGGAAGAGGACCTTCAGCATGCTCACGATGAAGCTTTTTGAGAGGCATATATTGGGACCGCTTTCTTTTTCTTTGTTATAATTCAAGAATGGATCTATGGGCCTCTCATGCCCAGTGAACTACGTGTCTTATTTATTATTTCAACGAGAAAAAGGAAGATTGGATTAAAAGGTTACAAGCATTTCTATGTAACAGATATCAGAAGTGGATTATACATTAATGGACAGTGTTCATTCTTTCTTTCTTTATTACTCAGGCCTGTTTTGTTTGATACTGGGATAACGTTGATAAGCATTCTTATGATGAAATAAAAATAAAAAAAGATTATCTAGAGAACAGACAGCTGTCCTAAATGTTCCACAGTTCCAGTAACAACTTCTTTGATACTGGTTAATTTTTAGCCAGATACTTCACATGTACGTGTCTCATCACACTATGAGGTTCTTGTTTCAATAGATAATATTTCTTTTATATTGCACTTTATTTAAGAGAGGCCACATTCACATGTTAAATGTTTGCTGCATAGATGTACTGCAGAACTTTGGTGAAGACCCACTTTTAAACAGAACATCAGTGTGATGAGCAGCTCAGCTTTTGTCTCTATCACTCACATTGAAAGACAGCCTCTAATCCCTTGTTGTCTTTATTTATATAGAAAATAAGACAGAGAACAACTTCTTTGTTCCTGGTTAATTTCTATCCAGACACTCCTCCTGTATGTTTCTCATTAGACAATGAGGTTTTTGTATCAGTAGTTGTACCTCGCTCAAGACTGAAACTTTGGGGACTGTGTTTGCTGTCCTGGGTCTCAGGCTGTGAAACAGTCTCCCCTGAGAGTCAGATCAGCAAACTCTCTCAGGTAGTTTAATTACAAGTGTTATTGTAATAGAGTTATTATGTACATATTTTTGTGTTTTTCCTTTGTCTTTTTGTTAAGCACTTTGTAACCTTTGAAAGGTGCTATATAAATGAAAATTTACTTAATTTGTTCCTATAGAGATTTTTTTATTGGCCTTTTTATCATGATAATAATGCAAACACAATTAACAAGGAAAATCAAAAGAGCATACTGACGCCAACATGATCTTGCTGTTATTCTTGTTTGGTCTGACTCTGGGTGCTGAGTCTCCTTCAGATAAACACTATCACAGTCAAGTCTATAGTTAAAGATTTTACAAATGTTTTCCCCCTATTTGGAATTCCAAAAATCATTCGAGTGATCAAGGGTCAAATCTTTTTTCAACTATGTATCAAGAATAACAAAATAACTGCTTGTCCCACACAAAGCCAAGATGCTCTACAGTGATTTCACAGAACTCTCAAGTCTTTGATGCAGTGCTGGGTTCAGTCTTAATGACCTAGTTTTTGGTCACAAAGTATGTGGTCCCTGGAGTGCTTTTTTTTTTTGCGTTATTTAAAAGCTATGTGTGGTCTTCCTCCTATGTCACACACTTTTGAGCCAAATTATGACAGTGGCCACTTGAGGGCAACTCACAAACAACATGGTCTTCATGTTGTTTGTGATGATGGTTCTCTCTTTTCCCCATTTAATACCTTATCGACCGTACATACTGAAAGCTTTGTACTGTTGTGATAATGTTGATGTGTAAATATATGCCTGTGTTTGGAATGTTATTTTTTATCTGTTAAAAAAAGTCAACAAGAAAGCAATACATCTTCTCTCATGTCAGTTGAAGCCAAGCGTCTTTTCTAAAGCTGTGTTTTACTATATCAAAATTTCACAGAAAATTAATAAATCATGTTCATGAATCAGATGAACATGAAGGGAAGCTACAGAGAGGAAACTGTCCCATGTTCTGGTTCAGCTTCAACGGCCGCGTTGCGGCTACTCATATGTCCTGGGCTGATGCAGAGCTCCACTGTGTGTCGGAGAGAGCCAACCTGGTGTCTATCCACAGTCTGGAAGAACATCATTTTGTCAAAGACCCGATGAAGAGCTTTGACCCCGCTCGGACATCTACCTGGATCAGAGGCAATAACACCCCGAAGGAGGGAATATGGATGTGGTCTGATGGGTCTGCAGTCAACTTTATCTTTTGGCATGCAGGACAGCCAGACAATGCTGGAGGGCTTGAACAGGTGTATACTACAGCTTGGGTCCAGATTTGAAATGGAATGACGTAAAGTGTTCTGAAGCATTCTCGTTTGTTTGTGCATCTTGCACAGTTTGTCCTTAGCAACCAAGATTGATACAGATAAATATCTAATGAATGTTGGACACTAACACACACCTTTCAATGGTGGGTCAAAGGAAACATTTCCAAAACTTAAATGTCAGTTTTTTTTATTTTTGCCTCATTGAACCATAGAAAAATATACAGATTTAGAAGAAGTAAAAGGGATTGTGTGATGATATTAATGTCATGTCTTTTACACAAGGTTAAAATACTTTTGTATTTCTTAAAAAAAAAAAAAAAAACTGTTACACTATTTTCTGTTAACTTTATTAAATTGACACAATATTGAAAGATATGAGAAGCAATGAGAAGTGAACCTTCAGAATGTTTATGATGATGTTTGAGATATTTGTAATAAACTCACACAGATACAGGACGTTTCATAGACAACACAGAATAAAACTGATTTCCCTTTTGGGTTGCTTGGTCCATGTATCAACAAATAGATTACTTGTTGTTTTGTTTTGTAGCCACTTGAGGGCAGCAGTTGAGCCAACAGGCTGCTGTATTTAGTGTTTTATCAGCCATTGTCATGACTAAAAAAAGTCATGTTAATGCTGCAAACACCTGTCAGAGTTTTCTGATTTGCTTAGAAATATCTTCTTTGAAATCTGTCTGCTTCAAAGCTGCTCCTTTCCATTTCTTGTTCTGATTTGTTTGTGCTTTGTGTTTTTTCTGCGTCTTGTTTTTAGCTCAACAGAGTAACTGCTCCTGATCTCAAATTCATACCACACAGAGTACTTTCTTTAGTTACCCTTTGCACTTGAGGTATATTTTATGTTAATTTCTAGACATTTTGAGGTTATAGTGTGATGCACTCACAGCAACATCAGCTCTCGTGCCCCTTGCATGCTGTCAACCAGAAGCCATTCAGTTTTATATGCTGTATATTGTTTATTTTCTGATGTGTGCTGATGTGTAATATATATGCCTATGTTTGGTGTGTTGTTATTGTTTACCTGAAAGTGTATTAATTATAGATCTTATGTGACATCTCCAGGTGAGCTAGTGTTTTTTTGGCTTGTGTTGAGATACTGTGTGGCTGTGTACAAAGTGTGAAAGTCTTTACCATGTGCATTTGACCAATGATATCACAGAACAGTGCAGACACCCTCTCCAAAGCATATAAAAGAAAACAGTCTGTCACCTGTCTCTGTCTGGGTATCAATCCCACCTAAGAGTGCAGATCATCTCCACCCACAACATCAACCTCTCATCCTGCTCCTGTGACAGAGAGACGCCAACATGATCTTGCTGCTCTTCCTGTTTGGTCTGACTCTGGGTGCTGAGTCTCCTTCAGATAAACATGAAGTGAAGCTACAGCGTGGAAACTGTCCCTTGTTCTGGTTCAGCTTCAACAGCCGCTGCTACAAGTACCTTTCCACTCATATGTCCTGGGCTGATGCAGAGCTCCACTGTGTGTCAGAGGGAGCCAACCTGGTGTCTATCCACAGTCTGGAAGAAGAGGATTTTGTCAAATCCCTGATCATGAACTTTGACCCTGCTCAGGGACCCACCTGGATTGGACTCAGTGACACACAGAAGGAAGGAAGATGGATGTGGTCTGATGGGTCTGCAGTCAACTTTGAATTGTGGGGCGCAGGGCAGCCAGATGATTATAGAGGAATGGAAGACTGTGTACACGATAGCTATGGCAGTGATCTGAAATGGAATGATGACCCATGTTCTAGCCCTACACCTTTTGTTTGTGCATCACGCATAGGCTGTCTCCAGCAACTGAGATGAGTCATGTCCAATTCAACATGTTGACTTTGCACCTGTTTTCCTGTTGAAATGCAATGGACCAACAAAATAAATGTGCAAATGTTCAAGTTTATATGTTTATAGACGTTATTTCATTCATCTCATTCAACTAATGTGTTTGGTGATTTTGTCAGATGATGTTGCGATTATAAAATCAGCATTAGATAGATAGATAGATAGATAGATAGATAGATAGATAGATAGATAGATAGATAGATAGATAGATAGATAGATAGATAGATAGATAGATCTCCTGAACCTCTCTATTCTGAGATGAGACGTTTGCTGCATCTGTAGCTGCTTCTCTGTCCTGCCAGAATGTTGTGGAGAGTATGGTTGGTATTGTCCAAGATGGCCTCCATCTTACATTGCGTGCGTCTCTCCACAACAGTCCTGAGTGAGTCCAGACTCCCGCCAAGCACAGACCCAGCCTTTTTGAGCAGCCTATGCAGTCTCCTTGTGTTTGTGTCTGACATGCTGTTGCCCAAGCAGACTTCAGCATAAAAGAGTACACTGGCCACCACTGACTGATAAAACATGTGCAGCATTTCACTGCAAACGTCAAAGGACCTGAGCTTCCTGAGGAAAAAGAGCCGGCTCCGCCCCTTCTGGTAAATGGCATACGTGTTCAGGGACCAGTGCAGAACAGAAGCTTGGAAATGGCTTGAAGTTTAACACATAGTCTTAATGGGCTGCGTTTCAGTCACTATTTCAAACTTGCTCCGTTGTCTGACAACAGAAACATAAACTGTATGCTGTATGTGAGAACAGAGAGTAAGAGAGAAGCAAACGGATAAAGGGCTGACACCGGGCTGAGCAATGATGCCAGTTGTTCACTGTGGTACCACAGCAGTTATTAAAGGGATAGTTTGGGTTTTTTTGACTTGGGGTTGTGTGAGGTACTAATCTGCAGTAGATTCTGTTCAGCGCGCTCCCAGTTAGGAAAGCCGACAGGGAGCACCCAGCAGAGCGAGGTGTTGCTGTGTACGGGGCCACGAGAAAAAAAAGTGTTACAGAGACTGTTTAAATGTTTGCTTCATATAGAATATTTTCAGTGGTTTATCTGCTTGTGAAAACAGCACTTTCCACTTTCCAAGGTCACAGTGATCTCACATTCATGTGAATGCAATATATTGGGAACGCCCACAGAGAATTTCACTACATCTGGCACAGACATTCACTTTGGACTCAAGGATGAACTGATTAGAATTAGAATAACTCATGAATTTATACACTAATTTTGACACAATTTAACTCAATTGTCTATGAGAATAGAATGATGACATTTCACATCCAAATGGTCAAAGGTCAACTTCACTGTGACATGATAATGTTCTGCAAAAACATAAACGTACAACTGTGAGGCATTAATTCTAGTTTTATAAAGCCTTGTTTTTATTTTATTTCAGTTAATGAAACTGTTTTTCTCTCACCTAGTTTTGTTATTTTGTTTGTTTTAGTTAACGATAATAACGTTGGGCAGCGATGGAGAGGAGGCCATTTCAACTTGAAAGACTTAATGTGATCTTAAAATCAAAGAGTTTGTGGTTGTTAGTGGAGATGAAGACAATTTTGCAATGTGTGAACAGCTGCCTCAGTCTCATCTCAGCTGATTCCAGCTGGCCTGAACTGCTTGGAGAAGTGGTAAGCCACTCTCTGCCACGTACTGTGTGTGTGTGTGTGTGTGTGTGTGTGTGTTCGGTGGTTGTGTGTCTGTGGAGGGGAGGTACGGTCAGTGGTGGTTTAGCCCCAGGGTGCACACAACTCTACTGATGCTGGGAACCCCTATCATTTTGCAGTCATGCTGATGCAGGCTTCTGACAACTAAACAACAGTGGAGGAGGAAGGAGAAATGAGGGAAGTGAGACAAACAGAGCGGACAGGCTGGGTGTAATGCAGGTGCTGTGTAATTATCAATCTGACAGAGTGCTAAATGAGTGGAAATCATGCAGAAATTGATACAATAGACATTAAATAGCAGTGTTGTAGTCAGGCCTAAGTGTTCAAGTACTGAACACTTAGCCCAAGTCCCCCCTCCTGTCTATTTCTGTCACTGAGATTTGCTCTCAAAGTCCAATGCTTGCTACCAGGAATACAGTACTAGTATGGAAATATCCTTTATTTGTTGAATAAACAGGAAAGCCAGATAAACCTTTCCAAATATGTTCAATCCCTGCCGTATAGGCACCTGTTTGAACATCTAATCACAAGCTGTGTCAGGCCTTTGCCCACGTCAAATGCTTTCTCTACACTACTGACCTGATCACAGATGTAACTTGTTTAAATTTCTTTTAAGTATTTTGCGTTTCTTTAAGGGCTATGTGTGGTCTTCCTCCTTTGTCACACACTTTTGAGCAATATTATGACAGTGGCCACTTGAGGGCAGCAGAAGAGCAAGTTGATGTGATGACGGTTCTTTCTTTTCCCCATTTAGTACTTTATCGACCGTACATACTGACAGCTTGGTACTGTTGTAATAATGTTGATGTGTAAATATATGCCTGTGTTTGGTATGTTATTTTTAATCTGTCATCTGTTTAATCAACAAGAAAACAATACACCTTCTCTCATATCAGTTGAAGCCAAGCATCTTTTCTAAAGCTGTGTTTTACTATATCAAAATTGCTGTAGTAATTTTTATCTTATGTTGTCTTATGTTCAGATACTTTGCGGTTGTGTACAAATGAAAGTCTTTGCCAAATACATTTCACCAATGATATCACAGCAAAATTGCAGACACCCTCTCCAAAGCATATAAAAGGAAGTTGCCTGTCAACTGTCTCCTTCAGGGTCTATTTCCCATACGACGGTGTAGATCATCTCCACCCAACACATCAACCCCTCGATCTGCTCCTTTGATAGAGAGACGACAACATGATCTTGCTGCTCTTCTTGTTTGGTCTGACTCTGGGTGCTGAGTCTCCTTCAGATGAACATGAAGGGAAGCTACAGAGAGGAAACTGTCCCATGTTCTGGTTCAGCTTCAACGGCCGCTGCTACAAGTATGTTGCCACTCACATGTCCTGGGCTGATGCAGAGCTCCACTGTGTGTCGGAGAAAGCCAACCTGGTGTCTATCCACAGTCTGAACGAACATAATTTTGTCAGATCCCTGATCAAGAACTTTGACCACGGCGAGGGACTCACCTGGATCGGACTCAGTGATATCCACAAAGAAGGCAGATGGATGTGGTCTGATGGTTGCGCAGTGAAGTTCACCTTATGGTGTGTGGGACAGCCAGACAATAATGGAGGATCTCAGCACTGTGTTGTCAACAAAGATTTGAGTGACCAGAAGTGGAATGACGGAAGATGTTCCTTAACTATTCCCTCTGTTTGTGCATCTCGCATCAACTGTCCTTAGCAAATGACATTGTCTGATTCGAGCTGGTCACTGTTCACCTGTTGACATGAAGGTGGCTTCTATAATAAAGATGTGAATCTTCACTTGTATATTTTTGTAGAGAAGTCATTTCACTAATTTAATTTTCATAGAAACACATTAGGTAACTTCAGTGGTTGATCAAAGGGAATATTTCCACACCTTTGTAAGAACCTCAAGACTAAACTAACTAATAACTAAGTATTATAAGGAGAATTAAAAAAAAATCCATATACAGTAAACATGATTTCAATCCATAGATTTCCATAGGTGTGTGTAGATTTTTGTTTTTTTGGTCCATGTCTGCTCCAGCTTTGCATCATTCACTGGGTGTGTATGTGTAAAATTTTGGAACAACACAGGTTTAATGGTTCAGTGTAATCACAATGACACTATTTACCCACTATTTATTTTTTCTGTTCATATGGATATTTGTGCATAGCTCAAAATTCGCTGAAAATTTTAATCCACTACTAAGTTCTGCTAAAATCACGATAAACCTCACTGTGGTGTGGGTTAGAAAAGCATAAAGGCTTGTAGTCCCTTTACAACAGAGGAAGATTAAATGCTTAACAATAATTCTTAAAACATTACCAGTGGGTTTACACGAACACGATGATCAACATGATAAACCCCTCTATTATGTAACTTTCTGAATACACAGTATCACATGCAACCACCTCAACTCAGGTCTCTGTGAGAAAAATGACAGGGATGACATGACCTTGAAATCAAAGCAGTTTCAGCCTACATTACCTGACAACAGTCACAAACCACTGAGTGTGCTTTTTATTGAGTGTAAAAGGAAACACCACACCACTGCCCACACCTGCTCCTTAATCTGCTTCGATAAGATGTACAAGTTGTGAAGGGGTCATTTTTCTCTGAGAAACATATGTGAACAGGTGTGTTGAATACAGTCTGGGCGAGTTGGCTGTGTTCTCTCTGTGGAGGGGAGGTATTGTCAGTGGTGGTTTAGACCCAGGGAGTAGCAATGGTTTCCTGATCCTGGTAACCCCTATCATTTTGCAGTCGTGCTGATGCAGGCTTCTGACAACTAAACAACAGTGGAGGAGGAAGGAGAAATGAGGGAAGTGAGACAAACAGAGCGGACAGGCTGGGTGTAATGCAGGTGCTGTGCAATTATCAATATGACTTATTGTTTTAGTTATATCATCTGTATATTCTTATTTTCTAGTTTGTGGGTCTCAATGATCTCAAAGCTTGAAGCCCTTTTCAAGTGCTACCTATACTAGGGAAATATTCAATCCTTTTGAAATATTCAATTTGTTAAAGCTAAAATTTAAAATTTTGGGAGATATGCTTATTCGCCTGCTGACAGAGAGTTAAATGTGGAGCTTGACTCACCTGTCATGTCTGCCCAGTAAGTATGAACCACAGCCAACAGTTTGTTAGTGTGGCTTAGCTTAATACACAAAGACTGGAAACGAGGTGAAACAGCTAGCCTGGCTTTTTCCACTGGTAGATGAAAAAGCTCATGGAGTAACCTGTTTGTTCCATCTGAAATTCCTCTCAAATGCTAGACCTAAGTGCTGGAGGAGGAATTCAGATCCTTTACTGAAGTAAAAGTTGTGACAATGTACCCTACAAATGTACCCTAAAGTTGACTTAAGCAAAAATATCATCTGCAAAATATTGTATAATAAATAAAAGTATTCATTGTGCAGTTTAAGGAGCCCTTACAGTATTTATTTTGTTATATTTTTTGTTTGTATTTTAATTGTTATATGTTGATTAATTGAAGAGGTGGACAGTACTTGAGTCAACTCATTGTTGTATTGTTCCACCATGCATTTACAGAATGACTCCTACTGAATGAACTGACTCACTTGTAGAACCTGTGAAATAAAAAGTTGTACAAACCTGTAAAAACTGTACAAAAGCTTAGAAGAAGAACTGGATAACAAAGGGTAACCAGATGAACATATAAACAAAAGATCCACAAAGCCTAATATCAGCCATCACATATTATTGTATGTATATTAGCATAATATCAATATTTCATTTTGTTAAATATCACAGTTATCCTCAGTACTGGTCACATGACACCCCTAAATCAGACTCATCGATAATAACATAATTGCAACCCTTACAACTTAATATACTGTTGGGTAGATGACTCTGCAACAAAACATCCTGTTGAATAAACTGATCATATGCAAAATCTCAATCTACAAAGTAACTATGAAGTATAATGTATTTAGTGAAGTAAAACATAATATAGAGTACAGTACAAGTCATTAAATTCTATGAATGTATTTACGTAAATTCAGCCTCTGCAGAGAGTTTGTTCAAACTGTTAATGATACACAAATATTTGTGTGTACAATGCCATGGCAGGTTCACACAACCACCAAAACAAATGAAATCCTCCATACCATATCAGGGGTAGGGCCCCTCTTGCTCCCCGGGATTACCACGCCCATGTGCTGTTTTCGCGCGAAGAGATGGTCTGCACCATTGTGAGTGCGGGGTGGGGGTTTCAGAAGAGAGACTACTTCTAAACATAAATAATATCCCATTTTTCAAAAAATGTAAGTGAATGAAGGATTTATGTTAAATGATTGTCAGTGGACTCTCAAAATTATAATTATTGGACTCAACTACAAATTTAGATGTAAGCCCTCCAAACACAAACCTCCTGCTTTTGCAATCACCCGACCTCTCTAGCGGTTAATTTTTAAATCCACCTCTACGCATTGGTTGTCATAGTATAAGGCATAACTTTCTGTTGTACCGAAATTTGCCACAAAACGGAGATAAAATGACCCTCACATCAAAGGTAAGCGGCAGAGCAGTGCGTTTAAATGTAGCTTTCTTTTCTATCAGTTTTTGTGGTGGAGAAAAGTCATTACGAGTCAAAATCAACACCATTGTTAAACAGCTAACATTGCTTGCTTATCCGAGCTGAGTTCCCTCCACTGCAAAGATGCACAAATACCTTTCTCCTCTGAACAAGGTAATCATTTTGGCTTCACTATGGTAACCCAGACATCCGGTCATAGCATAATGTACCTACTGAACAAAACTTGTCTTACGGCTTTGTTTTTACTTGTTTAAGCAGCTAGCTTACACGTCATCTGTCCACGGCAACTTAAATTTGAGTTGATGCGCAGAGCAAAGCGGTGCAGGCCCAGTGTTTGTCAAGGAGATGGAGATGTTGGTCCAATCGTTGTCGTCCTCCTCATGTTAGGTCAGATGTCAACACCCGTGAGGCTGGGGGGGGGGTTGAAGTCCATATCAACACGTTAGACAATGGATATTAACTGCATGGATCAGACTCAACTCTGTTTTACACTATGAAAATTTATAGTCACACATATAGCTGAATCTGGGCCTTTATAAGAAATTCAGTCCTGCCCCCACGAAGGCTTGTACACTCGTCATAAGTGGACATGAAAGACTTACATGTCAACACTTAATCTTAATATCCTGCTTTTTAACGCTTCAAAAGCTTGTTAATTTTTTTTAATCTGCTGGATATATCCTGACTTTCCCTAATGTAATGAGAATTGCGTATAAGACATGTTCATAAACATTGCTAAAGAAGATTATAGTAAAACCTTTTTAAAAAACACTGGATTTCTATATGCTCTATTTATGTGAGGCTGTGGACAGCACTTTTAACACAGCAAAACCCCACCTAAACACTTTACTGTAGTTTCTGTATTATTTATTTAATACACACATATTATGTATATTTATTGACGTCTGTGGTACCCCAAACGATGAGCAAGTAATAATGCCATGTTCATTTTCCACCTCACTGTGTCATTGGTCTCAAATGGCCGTGCCCTGCTGTGGCTGAGAAGTTGCACAGGCCTGTGGTGATAAGGATGTCCTTTGGGTAACTTTGGTACCTGCCAGTGTAAACTCAAGAAGTTTACAATGATAGCCAGCCACAGCTCTGGGGATCCTGGCAGTTACTGTAGTGACACAGCTGAACTAAATTCATTGTTCCCACAGCTTTCACTCAGTGGCCAAAGCTGTCCACTGATGGAATGATGCTCCCTCTGGTGTAAAGTGTGAAAATTGGTTTAACAAATGGTCCAGTGGCTTATCTTTTTTTATAGCAGGTCTTGTATGGTTTGACTAATGAATAGCCCAGAGAGTCCAGCTCTTGGCCTGTCACTTTGATGTCCGCTGCGCCTTCATTGTTGTACACGGGAGTGTAAATACACATTCGTAAGAAAACTATGTGTTCTTCCTGTTTTGTCAAGGAAGTGCATTGTTGCCACAGTCAGTAATAATATCTAAATAAATATACAACTACATACATATAATTAATTAATCATTAACACATATCATTATTTCCACCAGATCTAATTTAGTTTATGCCTGATATGTCTGCCAACAGGCTTCACGTTTCAAATCCAAGTTCATCACTGCTGAGCTGGCTCGTCTGTTCAGCCAGTCAGACAGCGAGGAGGAGTTTGAAGGTTTCAGCGAGGATGAGGAAGAAGAGGGCAGGCGAAATTGTAACAAACGGATGAAGACCAAGGTATGAAGTGTTTATTGTGGACTACATTATTTGATGAAAATGTGTGATATTGCAGCCAAAGTACCAGCCTGTATGCTTTTTCACTCTGGATTTCTCCAGATTGTGGATTCAGAGGAGGACAGCGATGTGGACACAGGCTTCTACTCTGATGGCGAGAAAGTTTCCCCACCAAAGAGGAGGAGTCTTTTAGTAGCCTTGAGGTGTGTTCACAGGGCAGTAGCATACACTGGATTACACAGCCTTTAATTACAAGGAAGGCCCACATGATATTTCTTGAACAGGCAGAGACTATTGGTGGACAAAGGCTCCTGTTGCTGGTACTACTGCGGTCTATTATTTGTGTCAAATCACATTTGATGTCTTAAATCTCGACAAGGTAGTAATATAAAGGCATTCATTTTTTAAATTTGGCGATGAAGTTAATTGGGCATGGATTCGGTCTAGTACTGTTTTCCAGTGTATTTGTCCTATGGCTCAACTAAACAAGGGACCCCTATTAAACACATGCCTGGCTCATGATATTAGTGTTGATTTTTCAATAGTTGTATAATGATCTTATTTTAATCTTGCTCCTCAGGTTTCCCATGAAAAGACTGTCTACTCCAAAACAGAAATCTCAAGGGGAAAATGTAAAACAGCCTGTCAAAGAAACTCCATCTTCAAAGAGAGCCAGAGGACGGCCGAGTATGAAGCAGAGGCGGGACGAAGAGGAGGAGGAGGAGGAGGAGGCGGAGGAGCAGCAGCAGCAGCAGGAGGAGGACGACAAAGAGGAGGTCCTGTATCAGAGTCTAAGGAAACGAGACAAGAACATCCAGGAAAACAAGGCCATGGTAATGAAGCCTTAAGACCTTCAGTGTTTTCTCCATGTTCTGACAAACAGAAATTATATCAGTCCCTCTCTTGTTAGATGTCCTTTGACTCAGGTCTTCTCTGTTGTGTCTTTCAGCTGGCTAAGCTGTTTGCTGATCTGAGCACCATGGCTGACCTGACTCTGCCCACCACCCCTCAAGTAAGTACACACACCAGCATCAGTTTTTCCCAAGCCTATATCAGAAAAATGAAGATGCACACCAGTTGACAATCACCAATCACCAGTCACAAGTACACTTTAAAGTACACTAAAATTACTGGCCTGATTTGGAAACGCTGTTTTTGTTTTATTTCTGCAGAAGAAGAAGAAGAAGCAAGTGCCAGAGAAAGCAATGCCACGGAAACGCAAGTCTGAACCAGAGATAGGGTCAGAAAGGAGGAACCCGTCTCGTAAGGCTCGTCCTCCTGAGAACTTTGCGGTGGAGGAAAAGAGCGAGCCGATCGCCCACAGAACCCCCAGGTCTGTAGATGTCAGGAGACTGATGGAGGTACGACATGCACAAGCACACTCTTTTGAGCCAGATGTTGATGATGATGAATTTAGAAAGATTTTTAATGAAGTAATTGCACTCAGGATACACAATCACAGTCATCGTTTAGTCATCTAGTCAACTTTCATCTCAGTCATCTATAAAACAAATAAAAAAAAAAACCTCAAAAAAAGTGCAGTTATGATTTTCAATGCAAAACTTTGTATTAAAACTTTACCAGCTACATAGCAATATCCAGTTTGTGTCTTCTCTGTTGAACTTATCTGCTGTCATTGGTCAGGTGGATGAGGAACATGTCGGTGTAAGTCGAAAAAAGAGGAGTTCGAGGTCGAGCACGTATGTGAGGTCAGTTGACGAAATCACAGAAGAGGAACTGGACAACATAGCATACCGCAGCAAAGACAAGATCTGGGACAAAGAGAACGTGAGTCACATGAAGCCTTTACTCACTTAGTGCCGTGGGTACTGTCAGTACTGCACTGTACTATCAGGCATTTCAGGGTTCAGGGTTAGTGCATTACTTCACTGTGTGCTTCTTTTGTTTTTTTATTCCAGGGCAGCTCATGTCACCAGTGCAGACAGAAGACTCTGGACACCAAGACAGTGTGTCGCAGTGGTTTCTGTGTGGGGGTCAAAGGTCAGTTCTGTGGGCTGTGCTTGAAGAACCGCTACGGAGAAGATGTACGCACTGTGCTGCTCGACCCGGTCAGTGCTAATATGCTTGTGTTAAACACTTCATTTTCCATTTCTTGCACTGTGGGTTTGGTAAATTTGAGGTGAATGTGGGTTCTTCCCAGATTGAAAAGACACTTGAGAGAGAGAAAAATAATTTTGATGTTTCAAAGTATTGTTGGTGACAAACAGATTAATAAACAATTTGTCTTTTGTAAATAATAACCTTTTATTTTTCATTCATTCATTTGTTATTTGAATTTGACCCTTTGAACAAAAAAGCTATTGCAAAATCCTACATAAGGGACAGTTAAAAGCACAAAATGCAGCACTATCATGCAGAATGGTGGTAGAGAGGTGGTCAGGGGCCATACTGACGAGCTTAATTTTGTCCCTAATGTAATGTCAGTGTATATTGACTTTGATTTTACACAAGTAAATATTAAAAATTTGATGTCTTTGTATTGCTGAGTATTCACATACAGGATTTTTGAAATACAGATACATTTTCTTTTATTCTGATTGATGTGTAGTTATCGAAAGCTTTTATATTTCGTTTTCAAACACCTTGCATTCAGTAGGAAAACTCAGGGATTTTGTTTAGATTTTCAGCAACAGCAAGACTTTTGTTTTTTGTTTGTTTTTGTGTTGTTTTTAATAAAAGCTAATTATTTGAGAGTCCAATAAAAAAGACAAAGAAAGTGAAGGTACAGATGACAGATTAAGATACTGTGTCCAAGCCAGAACTACACTAAATTATAATATATAAGAAAACATCTGTGCCTAATTCGTCTTCTTATCTTTTTGCAGTTGCTTATTCGTCTGTAGTAGAGCAGCCTGTGTTGATTTGTTTGGCAGCTGCTTTGAGGTCAAAGTACTAGTGACACTGGGAAAGTTATCACAGAGAAATGCAGTGCAAAGCACTAAATCAGTGACCGGTTATCAGTAAAGATGGATGAATGAAAAACGCTTGTACAGATTTCAGCACAATTCAATCACGTGTTAATTACCAGAAGCATTAGAGGCATGTGATATGAAAATGATTAAGACTTAAGGGTGGAAGGAACTTAAAACCTCATCATGAATTCATTTGTGTAGAGAAAGAACATGTTTGGTCACCTGCACTAAATTTGGACTTTTTCTTTACAGACGTGGTCATGCCCCATCTGCCGAGGGATGTGCAACTGCAGTGTGTGTCGTAAGAAGGAGGGCCGCTGTGCTACTGGCATCCTCGTGGGATTGGCCCGCTACAACGGCCATGACAATGTCCATGAGTATCTGGAGAGGTAGGCCACCTCCTTCTCACTGTGCAGTCTAATGTTACAGGCTGGAAACTCCCTAAAACTAAAGTCGAGAAAAATTAGTCAAGTCAAGCATGACAATAATCATTAGTCGCAGCCCTGTTGAGAAGTATTCTGACAGCAGTTAGAACTCATGTCTTGTTTCTTCTCCATCACAGTATTCAGAAGGAGGTGCAGGAAAGTCCAGAGTGTTGACCAGCGAGGAGAACCTGCTGTACAGCTGGTACCTGGAGGAGGTTCTGGTGCTGCACAGTACTGTTGAACTCATTTTAATGCACATTTTTAGGTTTAGATCAACCTATTGGCTAACTAGAGAAACCTTTTATATCACCTTAAGATAAGGCACATACACTGTTAATGTTTTATATAACCCTGATTTAAGGCTGCATAAGATACAGGATCGTTTTTGTTTTAAAGCCAGAACTCAGTTTTGCGTTGTATATTTTCTTTGGAATATTTGTACTCTTGATGTTCACTAGAACAAATGTAAGTGGTTAACTTCTGTGTCACAGATGCCACCATAGTCTTTTATGCCAACAGCTTTTCAAAAAAAATTAATAAAGAATGGCATTATCAAATGATCTGCCATGTTTTTTTAATGCACGCCTTTATCTGTTGATTGTGTCTTTCTTACAGACTGTGTCTTTTAAGGAGGAAAACCAAGCCTAATATTGTTGTACACTTAGGGGAGGTGCACACCCCTTTTGGTTATCTGAAAGGTTATAGCAGGCAAGCCTGGCTGAGATGGGTCATTTTGTGTGTGTGTTTCGTTGCTGTATACCTGGTGTTAAGTGTGTGGGGTCAGGTTTAGGTCAACTATTGGCTCCAGAGGTGACCAGGGAACCAGTCAGCTGATTTGGTATAATGACCTGGTACCTCAGGGGCAAAGCCCTGTCAGAGGTCAACCTGAGGTCATTGGATCTGGATGGTCATGAAATGTTTGTGAGAAATAGAAAGGTATATTACAGCTGTCTGGTGGAGCTTTTATCTAATGACAGATGTCCTAATTATCTGTTGTCAGTGTCAGTCTTACATTGCACAGTCAAGATGAATGTGTGAGTGTGTGAACATACTACAGATAGGTTATAAACCTTTATACAGTGTGAATTAAAAGCCTCAAATGTATTAGTCCAATGATGAAGACTGAATTCTGAAATCTCTAGTTAATTTGAATTTATTTTTTCTTGATGAAACTCTAACCCAGTGTGTCATCAAACATCCAAAGTGATTAAAGATAATGGAGTCAAAACATCAAAAGTCTGTCCTAGTTTTGAGAGTTCATTACATTAAAATCCTTTTTACCTTCAAAACTCCACAAAAACACTTGAGGGTGCAGGAAGAGGTTATAGGTTTAGGTGTTTTTGAAGTGCTTCAAAGTGAGTTAGATGTCAGACGTGTGCGTGAGCTGCCTACTACATGATGCTCTTTGTAACCTGACAGTCAGAGTGACCTGCCGGTGAACTCACTGCCTCAAGTCACACTTTGGTTGTAGCTGAGTTACACTTAGGGTGTTTTGTAGTTCATGTTTTCTAAAGTAGACAGTTAACAATCGCTCAAAGCAAGTGTGTGCTTTTGAGTGATAATAGATTGTCCTGTAACTGGATGGTCACAGGTTCGATTTTCACAGCAACATTTTAGAACCCATCAACAGCAGAAACAGTAACCAGGAGCAGTAATTGCCCCTGAAGGAAGTACAGACACTCCATCATCACTGCTGTCACAACACAGCTGAGAGATTACCCAGAAATAAGGAGGAGTTACAGAAACTGTCTGTGTGTGTTGAGTGCTGTGTCCTTTCTACTTCTACACAAATACCAGAGCATCAGAAAGGGATTTAAGACAGTTTTAATCACTTTATTGTCAAGTGTTATGCAGGCAAAGCATTTTTTCTGCTTGAAGTTGTCCTTTTTTTTCTTTTTATTGACATAACACGTTTGTACAAACCAGTTTTAAAAATATCAATAAACTGAAGCCTTTGAGGCTAACCTGGCAAAAAACCCATTATCAAATGTCATGGAGACAAACAAACATCTTTAGAAAAAGATTTACAAATGAGATGTCACTACAAAATATCAAAGAAAAAAAAGTTGGTTGTCACACAAAATATTACCAAAAACATCTAAATTCGTTTGGTATCAACCTTTTGAACTTTAAACAATAGTAACTTTTTTGCTTTCTTCTTCTTTTGTTATTTATTTTTCTCCAAAAACATGTTATGGTGCAAAGAGAAGATAAAGAAATGAACAGCAATGGTCAGACGTAGAAAAAAAAAAAACAGAAGCACAAAGAGTAAAGAAGAGAGAGAAGCAGCACTACGGCAAAAAACTGAAACATGCTGTACACAACCTCAGAATCAACGCACACAAATACAAGTCCAGCAAAAGGCAAATATTACAAATCAAGGATAAATAATAAATTAGCCATACACAGTGGGGTCCTGTGTGTTAACATACTGGGGAGGGGAATTTTTTTTAAAACAATCGATAAATTCTATAAAATAAAAGTATCTTTTAATTTAAAAAGTATGTACGCACTGAACTAACACAGAGCAACACCACCAGAAAACATCTCAAATATCCACATAGCTAAATAGCCCGACCCGCACCCCCCTCCCCCCCACAGCTCTTATCACCGTTTCACTTTACTTGTCTGTGCTGTGGTCTGCTCTCCACGTTACCCCCTAATAATGCAGGAGAGCTCCCATCTCTCTCCATCCACCTCACTCTGAAGATCCCTCTGTACAACAGCTTGTGTTAAGGCAATTGCGGTACATCGGTCACAGAGCAGGGTTAGAGGTGGAGGGGTGGAGCGGGGGGAGGGGGACGTCACCACAGCGCAGAAAGCAAAATGCAACATCAGTGACAGTGCAGCCACCCGACAAAACCAGGTACCATCTGATGGTATCTGGGGTATCTGCAAAGCAACCGGCTTTGTTCAGATGACAGCACTGCTTTCAGATGGTTTCCCTAATCTTAGAGCGAACTGGCTTCTTTAATTAACAGAGCAAAACTTCCCCTAACAATGTAAACATGGTTTCACTAGGATTGTCATTATAGTATTGCTTTCACTACACAAACAAAGTTGTAGAAAGCTAGATTGTTTTTCTCTATAGAAACCTTTTTTCTAATGGCCACTGCACCTCAATAGGAATGCATTATTCATAAATCTTTTTATATGTGCTTTTTTCTACTCTTTTTTTTTCTTTAGAATCATCCCCTCTTCTTCAATAACAGTTTATCCGTTAACTGGTCTCAAAGGAATCAACACCTGAATCTGATCCGAGGACTAAACCTGAACCATGAATAAATCTCAAATTAGGTAGATCCTCTCCATGACAGCATGGGAATACAAATGCACACTCTTTCATACACGCACACACACGCACACCATCCCAAGACTGTCCCTGCCCTGTCACTGCTCTGCAACAGTCCTGTACCATGATTGACCCTCAGCACTGTCTGACAGGTATGAAACAGGAACACAACTTTGTGCATAGAGTTAGATTCTGTTGCGATTAGGAAAATGTCTCAATGTCGGATGGTTTTAGATTCAGCAGGTCCCCCTGTCTTGTGCTAATCTAGATACTACTTACATTCCTTTCCCCACCGCGCATGGAATTATTATAGACTCATTTTATAAAAGCCAAACTAATCTTTCATATGTTTAGGCTAAATTTTTGTTATTATATGTGTTAGTTATTTTTTGGATTGTAAAGTTTATATTTTTCGGTTTCTGTTCATCGCATGATCCCGTCTCTTTTGAGTCCCTTTTCATGAGAGAACAACATTTTTAAAATGATGTAAGATTAAAAGTAAAAAAGAAAAAGAAAAAAAAAATTAGCCACCCTACAGTCCCTGCAAAGACTCCCAAAAAAACAGGAAGTCAGCCTTCCGCAAAAAGAAACAGCAGTCAGCCGCCTATTCAAACTCCTCCTCTTCCTCCTCCTCTTCCTCCAGGTGATTAGAGGTGGTGGGTGTAGCAGGGTCAGAGTCACGCGAGAGGGTCGCCACAGCGACAATCTGTGGGGAGGCCCCCAGGCCTTCGGGGGCGTCTTCCTCCATGTCATCGGTGGTGATGATTGCCACCGCGGCCCCACCCTTCTTGTTCTGATGGGTCTTGATGTGCTTGGACAGGTGGTCGCTGCGCATAAATCGCTTGGAGCATTCAGGACACTCAAAACGCTTCTCTCCTAGAGGGTAAAGGACAAATAATTCGAGACAAAATCGGAGTCAGAAGAAATCATAATGATTGAAAAATATCAAGAAAAGACCTGTGGCTTTCTATAAATAATTGTCAAAAAAATTTGCTTTGGTTGTTGCGTTCTTGGAGCTTTGTTACAGAATGGCTTTGCTCAGCATTACAACTGTATACATCTGCACATGGGTAAGTTGTACATTACAGAAATCCAACACCTAAATATTTATCAGTTAAATGTTTTGGTCATTTTTCAAGCAAAGAATATGACAAAAATGCCAAATATTGTCTGGGTCCAGCTTCTCAAATGTCAATCTTTGTCATATAACATAGTTGGTAGGGTTATACCAACGTGACAAGGGTGAACCACGTCACCACCTACACCCCTCTACCTGTGTGTGTTCTCCGGTGTCTCTGCAGCTCATCGCTTCTGGTGAACCTCTTGCCACAAAAGATCCAGTTGCAGACGAAGGGCCTCTCGCCGGTGTGCCAGCGCAGGTGGGCCCTAAGGTGGGACGTCTTGCCGTACACCTTCCCACAGCCCTCCATGTGGCAGATGTGCTGCTTCTTCTTTGTGGGGTCCCCGCTGTTCCTACAACACACACATTCGGGTTAGGAATGAGCTGGAGGATGTTAAGCACTTTCAGTTCAGGTATATTATTTAGTTCAGACATAAAAGTATACCACAAATACTAAAAAAACATAAATCATAAATGTACATAAAACAACCTTGTTTTATACATCTGTCAAACCAGTTGTCCTACCATGATGGATTTGATTTCTCTATATAAACAATGTCCTCAAAACCAGCAGGTTCCTAAATGATTAGAGCTTTAACCCCAGTTATACTATTGTATCCATACATAGTGTGTTTCTCATGTTTGTACCTTCCCTCTCCATCCCTGCAGTTTGGACAAGAGCAGGCAACACGTCGAAGCCTCTTGCTGGGGGGTCCCTCCTGGTCTGAAGAACTTTGTACGGAGCCCAGCTGGTCTGGACTCATCGATGAGCCTGATGCCACATTGCCAACAGCGACTGTCAAGGGAGACGACTGAACTTTGACTCCATCCTGACCCTGTGGTTGACCTGAAAGGTGATTTTAATTGACATAATGTGTAAACTTATTAATCAAAAAACACAGCGTTGTATTGTCTGTGGGGTAGTCTGAAAAAAATACAAAATGGAAAGCTGAAAGAGTAAGATCAAAAACAGTCTTGAGAAGAGCAGCAGGATCCTGGTATAGTTCAACTTTCTATGGTAAATGTATGAAGTAGTCTACCACTAAACTGGAGGTTGGAAAGGGGGCTGAGGGGCAACTCAGTAGTTCTTCATGTTTTCTACATGACTAATAATCCTCCCTCCTCACCATACTGCTATGATTGTAATAAATGCAGAGTCATGGATTAGTCACAACACATTCACACGTGTCCTTACCCTGTAGACCAGTAATGGTGAGGGGAACACCCTGCACCTGAACCCCAGCAGTGCCCAGCCCTGCGATGCTGACCGTCTGTACCCCAGACCCCGGGTTGATCTGGGCTGCGCTCAGCGTCAGGGGAGCTCCACTCAGGGAGACCAGCCCTCCACTCCCCACTGTCGTCCCACCAGCCACCGGGGCCAGTGTTAGCTGCTGTGGCACAGCTGTCCCCAGGCCGCCCTGCAGGGAGACACCGCCAGGCAGCTGCAGCGTCTGCCAGGTGATCTGCCCAGAGGGGGACAGAGTCGGGGTACGAATAAGGACCTGGGCTGGGTTCTGGAAGGCCTGGATGGGCTGGAGGGTTTGTCCAGGGGCCAACTGGAGGGTCTGAATGTGCTGAGGTTGCTGCTGGCCCTGGGGCTGACCCTGACTCTGAGCCTGGGGCTGCAGCTGGATCTGCTGCACCAACTGGTGGCCCACCTGGCCCACGATCACCTGCTGTATGGTTCCTGTTGTATCTGTCTGGCTCTGCAGTCCGTTGGCCTGGGTCTGGCTTTGAGAATCCGCCTCACTGCTCTGCACTTGGGTGTCAGCTGGTCCACCCTCTGATCCAGTAGAAACCACTTGTGCTCCATCAGACAGACTGTCACCTTCGGCTACTGCTGTTGTCGAGCCACTTGATGCTGTAGGAGGAGCCGCCCCAGACACTGCTGTTGTCACCAGCTGGTTGCCATTGGCAACAGAGAATGTGCCATCTGCTGATTGGATAAGCTGGACAGCCCCGCCCCCTCCAACATTATTGATCACAGGCAGAGCCAGGGTCATGCCACCGAGGTTTATGGGTACTGTGGTCATAACAGGAGTCTGGGAGCCCTGCAGAGTCTGCAGCTGCAGCGGGAAAGACTGCGCAGGGCGGATCTGCAGCGGGACCGTTTGATTAGCTGTACTTGTCAGGATGGCCTGCTGGTTGGCTGGCTGAAGGATGGCCTGGGTCTGACTTGGGCTCGGGGTCTGGATGAGCTGAACCTGCTCAGGCAGAGCTCCGATGGAGGCCGTCTGAGCTGGGCTGATATGGATCTGCTGTCCATCTGCAGTCTGGAGGTGAGGGATGACCTGATACTGGACCCCGCCCCCGGCATTGGGCAGGTTCTGAACCTGGATGATCTGGAACTGCTGCTGTTGCTGCTGCTGATTGGCTGCAACACTGTTGGTCCCACCTACTGCCTTCACCTGCCCAACAGGAAAGGAGCAGTGATACAGTTAAGAGGACAAACACTAACGGACACCAAAAAAAATAATTTACTGAAACCCATCAAGTTTCAGTCCCCAACCTCCTTCACCTTGCGTCCACCAGGTGAGCTGTCATTAGCCAAGGTGGTGGCCACGGTCACTGCTACAGGCTGATTGGTGTTCTCCTTGGCCATAGTAGGTGCCGCTGTAATGATCTGCCAGCCGTTCCCTGTGAACTGAGCTGGGACCAGTTCCAACTGTTGGGGCACCAGGGCCTGACCCCCAGCTGTGTCCACCACTATCTGACCCTGGAGCTGACCTGCCTGCAGCTGGATCTGACCGGCCTGGACCTGGATCTGCTGGGCCCCTGCCTGGGCCTGGGCCCCCTCCACTCCCCCCTGCCCTCCGATCTTACTGCAGGTGGCTGCTAGCAGAGCCAAGGGAGAGGGCTGAGAGGAATCCTGGAGGAGACAAGGTAGGAAAGAGGGCGGAGGAGAGATGGAAAGGAGGGGCAGAGAGAGAGATGGTTAAACGGGAGTGACAAGGGAGGGAGGGAGAACAGGCGAGTCAGAGACGGAAACACACGTAGAGAGCTCATATACATACACAAACAAGAAAGTAAAACATGTAAGTAATAAAAAAGCCAAAGGGAAGGGATGAGCAAGTATCATTATACACACTCACATAATGAACAATTTGAAACGGTGAAGAAAAAGAGTAAAAGAGTGAGGGGTGGGGAAAACATGGTGCAGAAAAAAGAAACACGAAAAAGCTGAGAGAAAGAGAGAGAGCTGTCAGTGGAAGTGGGCGGTATTACAGGAAGCGAGTGGGTGGGCGTGTGAGAACCACATTTCTCTTTTCTCAGAACACTAGAAGAAAATGCCGCCTTCTCTCTCTCTCCTCCCTTTCAAAGGAACTAGGTCGCAGGCAAATTTTTAATGCTACACATCTCTCAACAGTGCACGAAAACAGCCTAATTTCTGTATCAACTTCAATAGCGTGGGAAATAACAGCAGAAATGCATGTCATACACGTTTTTCAACAAAAGACGCATTCAATAATAACTGCCTGGCTGAAAATCATCTCCAAGAAATATACAACCTCTAAAAAGCAGCTAAAAATAGAAATTCCACAGTTGTGGAGGCACATACCAACGCTGCGGGTCTTTAAAATAAATCCATATGCAGAATTAAATCATTTTGACCCTAATTCAAACAGACAATTCAAAAGTACAGTGGCTGAAGTGTGACAGCCATGTAAGCCTATTCATGAGCCTCTGGGTTGGCTCTCAGCAGGGCTGCACAGAAGCAGGAAGTTGAATTCACCAGAGAAACGCCCCCAGAGGTGTCTGGCTGGCTGGGAGGGGAGGGAGAACATTTTTGGCCTGCAGGCAAGGCAAAAGTATTGAACTATAATAAACTCTTATTTCTTTTTTGTACCTGTGATCCAGAACTTTTCCCCTTTTTAGATGCTTTCCCTCCTTCAGTTCCAGATGATTCCTTCTTCGAGTCTGTGGAAAGAGAGCAGAAATATTATAATATCATCACATGAGTATGTCTGAATGGTACAAAGTCCCAGGATAGGAAGGCACAATGTAAGCACTGTGTTCTGTGAATAAAATGTGATCATAAGGCAGATACAGCACAACAAAGGTGATCAATAAAGGCAGACAAACCAGTAACCTCATCATCAATATCAAAGGGGCTTGAAGCCTCATATCTATGAAACGGAAAGAGAGGGGTGGAGAGGGGGGAGGGTACCTACCACTCATAACGCATTAATATACCGAGAGGGAGAGGGTGTAGTTCACGGTAGAAGGCCGGCCGGGTACAGAGGCGGAGGACGGCCTATATGTTCGGCGCTGGGCCGTGGCGGATCTGCCCGTTTGACGAAACCACCCACCGGCCAGGAAGGGCGGTGCCAAGCGCAGGCACAATCAAGCAGCCTCAAATAACGGAAATAACGGAGAACACAGTGACCGTCCCCGGCCCGTCGGCCCCCTCGCAGCCCCGTCGTATGCCTCTTTTACCGGATAGACAGACCATAAACGAGCAAATTGGCGCTTGTCAGAATGATATCCACAGAGAAGTTGGCGGTGTGTGACCGTAGAGGCCCACCCACTTCCATTTAAGCATCAGGACAACACCCTCTCCGCTGCTCCTGCCTGTCGCCGCCGTTTCTCTCGCCGCACGACGCGGGGACGCCTCGTCGCCGTCCGTCGTGCACCGAAACCAAACCGTCACCAGTGTTTGTATTTTACGCGTATTCCCCTTTTTTTCGTGCACAATTGATTTTTTTTAACGGGGAGATACGGGGAGATAGCTGTGGCTTTTGTGGGCGGACGCGCTCCTCCCACATATTCAGATTGGACGACGGGGCTCAGCGTGCGAGGGTCGAGATGGGAGTTGTATTTTGGTGAGGCCTCGCCTTCTCGAGCTGGATTGGGCGGCCGGGACTACAAGTCCCATGATGCTCCGGCGTGTCGGTCGCGGTTGGAGCGGCTGTGTTGGTAGTCATGTTGGTGTGAGAGCGAGAGGGAAGGGCGGTGACTTCTGTGTTGTGGGGGGTTGGGCGAACGGGAAAGGGAGGCGTGTGTGTGCGTGCGTGCGTGCATGTGTGTTTGTTTCCACTTTCTGGTGTCACAGGATGACAGCCCTGTTTAAAAGAAGAACAACAAGTAGAAGTGTTATTTATTTAATTACCATAGAAAACAATTTGTAGCTATGAAAAAATTGTCATAACGCATCAATGTTGAAATACTTGTGTTTATTTGCCTTTATGGTGTATGGTATTTTCCCTCATCAGTCGTCCACTTGTTCCCGTATCTATAGTCAATTTTGAAGCTTACATGGCAGAAAACAGTACTTTACTGTGCTCAGGGAATTTACGGTACAAGGCTGAAACAGGCCATCCAAGGATTTAATACCCAACAAACTTAATTAGGTTATTTATCAAGTACAAATGCTCAACATAGTTTGAGCCTCTCAAATTTTACATATATTTCATAAACATATTTATTGATCAGTTGTTCATACTCTAAAATGTCAGAAAATAATGAAAAGTAGCCAAACAAGATTTCCTGTTGTCTTTCTTTTTTTCCTACCAAAAGTCCAAAACCCAAATGTTACTATAAGAGCTTTGAGCATTTTTGCTTAAAACAATTACTTAAACAACTGATGAGTTATCAAAACCTGTTGATCAACGAATTGATTTATTGACTAACAGTTTAAGCTCTCATACGTATCCCCAAAAAATTTGGTCCACAATCCAAAGATATTCACTTTTAATTCAAATATAGTCGATATAATTATATGTTAGTGTAAAAGCCATTGCAGATATATCAATAGTGAAAACAATTATCAGTTGCAGCCTTTCATTGGTACTTGACCAACCAATCCTATGATTTATAGATTAATCTATTATTAATATATATATCATATTAGTATGATACAAGTATCCCAGCCTTTGTATCTAAAATTGAGATGTAGTTGATGTGTATAAAATATAAAATACATAAAAATGTCATTGCTACTACTGTTCAATAAATGCATTTGGACATAGTTCAGGCCAGAGGGAAGAAGGGGATGAATTATGGGTATTTAGCAGGAGAGGAGCAACAGAGAACGTAACTGATAAAAAAGTTATTTGCTGCAGTGGCAGTAATCACACACAAGTTTCTTGTGTGTGTAACAGTCTGGAGCAGAAGTCATGTCTCCCACCCACATAGCAAAACTTTTTTCTATCTCCCAAAGGGAAATTATATATTAAATTCATTCCAGCAAACAAAACTAGGCTACATGTTGAGGTACAGTCGACGGCCTGTATGGTCTCTGGCAGGGGTCTCTCCACCCCAGTTTGTCTTCCTCAGAGAAACCCCTCCTGAGTCAGGAGTGACGTTAGCCAAGTGGAGTCACCACCCTGGTTCACAGAGCAGAAAACATCATTAGCAGACAGCCAACTGAGGATATGCCCCTGCTACACATGGGAAATATTTAGGATCCTAGGCTGTCAGCTAAGACAGTACTGTGTCACTAAGATGCATCCTGTCACATTAACACTAGGCAGGATGGTATTCAAAGTGGTTCAGTACTGATATACATCTTTGTCTTACCTCAAAATATGTGAAAGTTCAGTTCCAAATGTATAAGAATTTCGAGGCTCTTTAATATTCATAATTGATGTTGATTTTGATAAAAAAGAAGATATTAACATATGGATTTTTATTTGGCCTTATTGATCAGTGTTGTCATGCTGAGACATTTCTTAGACCTAATGAGTTTAAAACCTGACTTCCCCTCTTCCAAGGCCTAAAAAGAAATAACTGTATTGAACATGGCTGCTACACAGGCCTGATACACTTTATGCTCGTGTGGTTTCTCTTTCTTTTTGTTCATGGGAGCGCTTGTAGCTTAGTCGTGTTTTCACAGCTAAACTACACACAGACACGCACCTGTGGTGGCCCAGAAACATACATATACGCACACATGCACTGTAATTACTGCGGAAGCCAAGTGCCTTGTTCCCGCCTCTTGGGCCACTCGGCAGGGCGTTGCTAGGCAACGAGGTCTGGTCTGAAGAAGGGGTGTTGTCTGTGTGTGTGAGTATGCATGGTGGTGGTGATGGAAGGGGGTGTGGTAAAGAGAAGGCCTTGGTCTGTTATAGATAACTGCACCATGTATTGGAAGCTTAATTTCCCACATTCAGTGCTATTATATTTTGTATTTTTGTAGTGAGGAGTTTATTCACAACAGCATTATTCTTCAATAAAGTTGTATTCAACCTTTGGTGGTCATATTGGTAAGAAAAGTCTTTCAGGGGTTTTACAAATTTAAAATAAGATTAGGACTTACAAAAGCTGAAAAATTATAAACGGCTAGTAAATAAATATTTTGTGCAGAAAGTGAAAATGGACGTGATACTTGTTTTCCAGCTGCTGCCACTAGATGGCGCCATATACCAGTATGGGCTTCACAGTTACTGCCATAGACTGTATACACACACCTGCACCTATAGTATCCACAAATTGTAAAAGTGGCAATGCCCCAATGAAAAATACTCTCTTATAAGTAAAAGTTCTGCATTACTGTTAGGAGCAATAAAATGTACCTCAAGTTTCAAAGTAAAAGTACTCATCATGCAGAAGAATCATTTTATTATCCATTTTTTATTAGCCTATAAGATAGTTGGATTATTATAACTAATGCAGTAACATGTAAACAGAAACATGAAGCAAATTTTTTACCATCAAATATACTGTTAGGTAGACAAATATATAACAATACATTATATTTTATAAATTGATGGTTTATGTGAGTATTACTCACTCATAACTTCTGAAATACAGAAATGTATAAAGTTGCATAAAAAGGAAATACCCAGTTAAAGTAGAAGTTTATGAAAATTGTACATAAGTACAGTAAGGTACCTGTGCTCTCGTGCTACAGTACTAACTGATAAACCAAATTGCTTCCTTTCATTCAAAGTCATACCTCTGTGGCCTGTGCGGTTTTTGATTAGCCTACCATTGCAATTACATTAGAATTAAAGACTTGGAAGTTCATAGCTGCTCCACATTAATAAAATGAGAATATATTTACAGTCTACATTTCTTTCAACTTCAGTGCCACCCGTTGGCTTTAGGAATACATTCATGACAACACAAGCAAGCACAACACAACAACTACAACTTAGTGTTGAGACAAATCTGCATCTGCAAGTCAAAATTTGTGAATGTGCAGGAACAGATAAGGACAGAAAAAGTTTTGAGACCAAATTAAGCCTGAATTGTGAACTGAACTGTGTCACTAGATTTTAGCAAGCAGTTGGGGTTTACTTGCTATCTTTAAAGCAGTGCACTCTCAGTTTTGGCAGTTTGTATGTCTTACATGTGAACTCCAACTGAGAGCAGAGAAAACTGCCTTGGAAATCATGCTGATTCTCGTCATGTGCCTGGAATCAGCTAAAATATGAGATCAAATTTCAAACTGAACATGCAAATGAAGTGATGTATCTAGTTTATCTAATGTATCTAGAAGACTGACCAAAGATGACATTCGCTTTTTGTTAACAGATTTTCTTGTCAGCCAAAATTGAAGTGGAAAAAAACATTGTGTCCACATCAACCTGGCACTTCAGACATAATGCTTCCCCTCTGAATAAGGGTGGTGTTTGTGTGTGTACAGGAATGTATAGCGCATCTACGCATGAGTGTGTGTGAGTCAGCGCACGTTTACATGCAGTTGTGTTTTTTATGCGTGATATCCCCGTGTGCTTTCTGCACACACGTATGCGTAGGTGTGAATTTGTCACATGCGAGCTTGGCGTCAAGAAGTCTCCTTTTCCTAAAGGTTGGGTTGTAAAGACAAAGAGATTTATGACTTTTACCATTTGTGTGTGTGTGTGTGTGTGTGTGTGTGTGTGTGTGTGTGTGTGTGTATGTGTTCACAGACCTGGAGAACTTGTTCACAGGTCATAACAGACATGTTTTACATAACTCTGCTAATTAGATGGATATTCATAAAATAGATCAGTCTGTACAAATCCTTTTGTACCTGTAAATGTGAATGACAATAGCTGATATCACTCTGCTATGTGCCATCATAACTCCCTAATGTCTAGCATTACACCACACACACACACACACACACTTAATGTTGGATAATAGAGCAACTATAGCTGTAGGTGCAGTGCTTTAATCATAATATTACTGTCTCATAAATTGTAAGTGTGTATGAACACAGTAACCTGAGCAGATGTTGCCTCACTTTTTTAATGTTCTTATTCCTGGAAACATGACACATCACATTACACTGAACTGGACTTGCATGAATCTCTGTGGAAGCTGGCAGCGTTACACTTTAATGACAGTTCAGTGATTGATGCTTACTGGTGTCTGGATTGAGTGGAAAACAACCGGTGTGTCTCAGTATCTTGGTGGGCATTGTGCCCGTTCAAGGTGTGGGTGGGACATGCGTGTGACCTACAATGAGAAAAGTCTTTTTTTTCCCTCTGTGGCTGGATGACTTATCTTTTAGCTCACAAGCCGAAGCATGATTTCACAGTGTATCACTTGTTTTTGTTTTGAAAAGTCGGCTGACAAATGTTGCCTTTAACACTGTGATTTCCAACCTTTTTGGCTTGTGACCCTTTAAAAGGAAGTGACATCTACTTGAGTGTTCATTTCATTTTCAGAAACATGATTTTTAACTATAGATGAGAACAACATTATTACATACAGATATGCAAGAGACAAACACAAAACAATAAACGGTGACAAAAGGGTGGGGGGATTGTGGGGTTAGGGGGTTTAGGGGTGGAGTCGCTTTCAGCCCA